CAGGCTCTGGGGTGCAGGGCACAGGGAGATGTTAATTATTTACAGTGGTGGATTAGTGAGGTTGTGGAAGTGTGCCGGGGCCAACGTGTGCTAGAGTCAATGGCCTTTTCCTCCAAAGCACACACACACAATGTGTTTATCTGAGGGCCTGAAAATACACTGGTTTAATTATGCAACATTTCTTGGTGGGTACAAAGCAGTTTGTACAGCTGAATGATAATTAAATTTAGGCTAAATAAATCAAGTCTTAGTCTAATGATTAATTTTCAGAATAGTCATAAGCATTTTAGTTCTACAGAAAAGAAAGCTACCATTCGGATTTTAAATACTATGTCTAACATGTCTCGTGCTAAAATGATCAGAGGCTAATAATAAACGAGGTGTGCAGAGCCCCCGCTAAGGTCATATTAGGGAGTGAGAGACATTCTCATTATGGTTAATAATAACAAAAATGGGGACTTCCCTGTGGTCCAGTGGTTAAGACTCTGCACTTCCACTGCAGGGGGCAAGGGATCGATCCCTGGTAGGGGAACTAAGATCCCACATGCTGCTCTGTGCGGCCAAAAAGTAAAATAATAATAATAATGATAATAATAACAAAAATGTGAAAATGAGAGATTATTACATAGGACAAAGAGGAAACACTACTGTTTCTCTGGTGTGTGAGTGTGTACACCTGACACCAAGCAAGAAAAAGAGGCACCATTTATTGAGCACCAACTATATGGCAGATGTTTTACATACATTTTTGTTGTAGGAAGTAGGTATGATTATTATCCCCATTTTACAGATAATGTAACCAAGACTTGGGGGACAGAACAGTTTGCTTAGGGTGAAGAAGCTGGGATTAGCACTCGGTTCTGCTAGGATCTCAAGACCCCTTTCTTTTCACTGTACTGTACACCAGACCAAAAGACCTAAGCGCAGACAAAGAAGACTGGGTTGAACCACAGCGCAGTAGGGGAAACGGCTAGAGCCGTGGGAATTGAAAGGAGACACAACACCAAACTCTGTTTTCATTCACACCCAATATTCCTACACTTTCAGCCAGAGCGTCCCAGCTTGAGTCTCAACTGTGTTCTCTGCTGGGATTCAGCAGGTCTGACCTTGTCTGCCAAATGGAGGATCCAAACCAAGCCAGAGAAAAAGGCATTTGTTGGAGGAGCTGAAGAGCCTTGGAGAGAACTCATCCCAGGGAAGGAGGAGTCAGCACAGTTAGTGTGCCCAAATTCCAAAGCCTCAGTGAGCATGCTGGGTGGTCTGAGACTCACCCTACCCAGTTCTCTTTCCTCCCCTCTCTCCTTCCATGGGTAACAGACCTGCATCGAGGTCTGAAGGCTCTCCCTGGCATCTCCTGCTCAGTCTCCCAATAAATCTCTTGCACATCTAGCCCTGCCTTAGTGTTCGCTTCTTGCTGGAACTTAACTAACACAGAGGCACTGACCCAGAACCTTCCTCCATGTCACAGGCCATTAGCATCTCTAGTACATTGGGAAAAGGGAGTCTTGAGTGCCTGGTGGTTGTGGGCTTGTTTTTAAACATATGACTGTACCTTCATTCCTGGGACTACAGGACGTACCTGGAGGGGCTTTGCAGAAGGATGAGATACCTGTTAAGCAGGTGGGGCAAGATGCCATGAAACGTGGGCTATGGCTATACGACTCCATTGGGGGCCATAGGCTGGTGAGATGACGAGACCTGGAAAAACTGAGGTTATAAACACACAATAAAAATATCACACTGAACTGATAATAACTGCTATCATAGGCAACGTTTAGTTTCTATAGCAAGAATATTATAATAATATTGTATTTATAAATTAGATAAAATAGTAGCAAAACATATTTACTGCTTGCTATATGCCAGACCATGCTAAGTTCTTTACTTGATAACCCTAAGGGAGACGCTTATTCAATATCTTCTATGCTAAGAAAACCTTGCTTTTGTTTGAGACAACAATGCACCAGCCCCAGGTAACTCCTGTTCTCTGTAGTCCCACCTTCTTTTGCACTAAGAAGTGGCCACACCTCTGTCCAGGAGACCGAAGCAGAAGTCGGCTGGGGTTGGGAGGTGGGGGGCTGGGTTAGGGAACATGCTTCTCCTAGAAGACGACAGGGCAAAACCCCTCACCTTCTTTAGGTCTTTGCTCCAATGTCACCTTCCCGGTATGACCTACCCTGAACACTCTGTTCAACTATATACTTCAATAAAAAAAAAAATAGGGCTTCCCTGGTGGCGCAGTGGTTGAGAGTCCGCCTGCCGATGCAGGGGACGTGGGTTCGTGCCCCGGTCCGGGAGGATCCCACATGCTGCGGAGCAGCTGGGCCCGTGAGCCATGGCCGCTGAGCCTGCGCCTCCGGAGCCTGTGCTCCGCAACGGGAGAGGCCACAACAGTGAGAGGCCCGCGTACTGCAAAAAATAAAAAAAAAAAAATCAAAAACTTATAGAGCCTGGTACATAGCAGGTACTCAAAACATTTTTTCTCTTTACCTTTAGAGGGAACACGTGAAAATAAAACAGGGAAAATTGCTGGAGCAAGCACAGACCAGCAAGCGCAAATGCCCTGGGACAGGAACATGCCTGGCATGTTGGGTACATAGGAGTCTGGCATGAAGGGTGGGGTGATGAGGGGAGGGGAAGGGGAGATGAAACCAGGATGACAGCGGGGAGCCTGGCCACACGAGGGCTTGCAGGCCCAGGAAAGCTTTTGGCTCCTATTCTTACTCCTAGTGAGCTGGGAAGCCCAGGAGGAGCTCTGAGCAGAATGACAGCCTCTGGCTTCCATTTAAAGCCACCACCTGGCTGCTGTTGAGAGAGACTGAAGGGAGAACCGTCAGGCCACTGTGAAAATCCCAGCTGGCGATGATGGTGGCTTGGACCACGGTGGTAACAGTAAGGAAGGAGAGACATGCTCAGGTTCTGGGTGTATTGTGAAGATGTAGTCAACAGAATTTGCTCACAGATTGGGCATGGATTGTGAGAGAAAGAGAGAAATGAAGGATGACATCAAGGTTTTTGCCCAAGCAACTAGAAGCAAGGTGATTGGGAGGACTGCAGGAAGCATGGGTTTTGGAGGGAAATTCAGGCATTCAATTTTGGACGTGTTTAAATATGAGATGCATGTTATACACCCAAGGAGAGACATTAAGTACTCATATGAATATACAGTGCTTGATTTTACGGGAAAAGTCCAGGCCAGGGATAGAGGTAGTATATAAAGCTATAAGACTGGATGGATTCACCTAAGCCATGGGTGTGGATTTAAAAAAAAAATAAGGAAAGAAAAAAAAAGTTCAAATACAAGGATGAGCCATGGGACATTCCAGTAATGACAGTGACATGTGCGGGGCACCACCACTTTACATGCAGGTGCTCATTTGCCCTTATAAAATGTTACAAGGTAAACACTCTCAACCTGACTCCATAGATGGGGAATGTTTCACAGCTATACGTCATCTGTCCAAAGGCACACAGATGGTTAAGTGCTACTACCTACCTGACTTCTGTGTACATAGCTTTTTTTCTTTTTTTAAAAAATATTTATTTATTTATTTGGCTACACTGGGTCTTAGTTGCGGCACGCGGGATCTTCTTTGCTGCGTGCAGGATCTTCAGTTACGGCATGTGAAGTCTTAGTTGCGGCATGTGGGCTCTAGTTCCCTGACCAGGGATCGAACCCGAGCCCCCTGCACTGAGAGCGTGGAGTCTTAGCCACTGGAACACATTTTACCTCCTCTAGCAACTTATAAACCTTGGCATCATCCTTTGTCTTCCCTTCCCCACCCAATCAGCCTTTCATTTTTTATTTTCACATTAAGCTTCAGGACAGGGTGCCCTAATCTTTTACCTTGAACTATTACAACTGTCTCCTAATAGGATTTCCTGCCTTGAGACTCTCCCACTCTAATCCGTTCCTTATCTTCCTGAGTATAAAGCTGATCGTGTCACCTTCCTGCTTAGCCCTTTCATTAATTCCCCAGTATCTGCAAGCTCTAATCCAGCTTCTTTAGTTTGGTTTACGGGAGCCTTCACCACCTGGCTCCAAGCTGCTTCTCCAGTCTCATCTCCTGCCACTCTCCCTGCCACCCACCTCTCACGCTAGTCACTTTCCTGTGACCTTGAATCTGTTACTGAGGTACATCAAGCTCTTTCACAACTCAGTTTCATATGCTCTTTCCTTTTTGTGCCCACACTGGTTAAACCTTCAGTACAATATTGACTAGAAGACACGACAGTGGGCACCATCTCGTTCCACACTTCTGAGGAAAACTTCCAGCTTTTCACCATTAAGTATAACGTTTGTTGTAGGATTGTTTTAGCTACCCTGCATCCGATTAAGGAAGTTTCCTTCTTTTTGTAATTGCAAAGAATTTATTGTTTTATCATGAGTGGGTGTTGACTTTTAAGGAATGTTTTTCTGCATTTTTTTGGTATCATAAATTCCCTCCTTTAATCAAACATCGATTTATTTTCTACTGTTAAATTTACCTTATATTTCCTGGATAAATCCAACATGATCTTCATGTGTTATCCATTTCTATGTGTATACTTCTGGATTCCATCTGCTAATATTTTCTTGAGCACATGGCCTGACGATCTGTGTAGTGGCCCAGTGGGAGCACGTTTTGGTGAGGTGACCAAAAGCAACTTGATAATTAGGAGCAAAGTTTGAGCTCCACTTCTGTCTGGGATTAGGGGCTCTGAATGGATGTCAGGTGAGGACTGAGGGTGGACGTCTGAAGCTCTGTATTATTACAGGAAAGTGAAAATTTCATTATCAATAGCTTTTATATTCAGTACAAAGTTTAGTACATATTCAGTCCAAAAATGGAGACAGATCTTATTGTTTAATTCAAAAGTTTTAATAGCAGTGAAATAAAAGCTTAATATGCGTAAGTAAACCTTTTTCACGTTTAGTTTTGCTAGTTCACCTTACATAAAAAATGACGAGTAAAGAAAAGCCCCACAAAGCCCTCAAAACACCCCTACAGAAAGCTTTTCTATATCATTTCCATGTTTGACGTTGTCTCTTCCACTTTGATTAGACCAAGATTGATGAGGATGTTCTTTTCCAGTTCCAAATAACTCTCGTAGTCCATTTTCAATTTGGTTTCCAATTGTTCTTTTGACTTCTGATACGTTTCCTAGGGGGGAAAAAAGCAAGTCATTTGTGTAAAAGTCTGGCAGCTAGAGATACCAAAGGCTGGGAAGGGGCTATTTTTGAAAGGCTGGCCTGGCTGCTGTTCTCTGGAAGGGCTGTGAGGGGCAGAGGGCAGGAGGGCATCTCTTGCACAGTCAGGGAGAGAGGCTGCTGGCTCTGAAGGGGAGGGGCAGAGATGAGTGGAGCGGTGTGTGCGGACTCCAGGCATCTCCTGGTGGCGGGGCTGACCCAGTCTGCTGATGGACTGGATGTGGACTCTCGGCGGGCAGGGGCAATCCGGGCTGGCCTACAAGCTCCTGCCACTGATGGAGGGAGGAGCACAGTGAGAGGGGAGAGAATAACAATGAAGGGCATTTATTCAGCTAATTTACCCAGCACCACTTGCTGAATAATCTGAGTCATCTGTTTTGTTCTTTGATCTGTCAGTGTTCACCTGAGTACTGCTCTGGTTTAATAATCGGGACATTTTAATTTATTGTAATATCTGCTGGGGCAGTCATTATGATTTTTATTTTGTTTTTTCTCATCTGTGTCTTCTTTCAGATGAACTTTAGGGTCACTTCATCTTGGTGTGTCATCCTGTGTTGCTTTTGTTTTTTCTCCTCTTGTCCTGTCCGCATCCTAATGTCTTCCTGTGCCTTCTGATGCCTTGTCACAAAGCCCTGTCTTTGTGGATTCCATCAAAGGGACCGGAACTGTATTTTATTCTAGTTCCTTTAGAGAATAATTTGCACGGGGTATTTTCCTCTTTTGAATATTCAAAATGACTGATGTTCTCTTCCCCTTCCTCTGCCATATTCTTTCCGTATGTTTGCTTTTCCCCCTCTCTTAATATCTCTGCTTTCTCAGATTCCTCATGTCTAATCATTATAACTGCTTCATAGCACAGCGAGGATTAAATGAATTATTAAATATGGCAGGTCCTCAGAATGGTGCATGCACCCAGTAAGCATTTGTTAGCTACAATAATCAATTCACAAAAAGAGCACGACTTGATAAGGTGAGAGTAGAAAAATGTTATTCTTCTAATCTTTGTCCTTTACAACATATGTGACAGATTCCGTAGCACTTCCTATCATTTTTAGGTATTAGAAATAGTGTCGTTTTCAGGTATTTGAAGACTCAGGCCAGTCCAATATCCAAGTGAAGGCTGCCCCTTGTGGCTCCCACTGCAATGACCCACTGTGCACCTCCAGGCTCTTTCTGTAGATTGCCTCACCCCACTTAGAAAGTCCTTTGGGACACCTGATTTGAGCCTAGCTACTTTCAAGTTTCCACCTGGCCCCAGGAAAACTTACCACCCTCACTCTGCCATCAGTACAAGTTCATTGCCCCTGGTCCTCTCTCCACCCATCTGTCAGAGCAGTTTAAGCCAATCTCTTGCCTGCAGACTTTCCAGCCATAGGAGTCAGGTCCCTGTCCCTGAGTTTCCTAAATTCTCCCTGGACATTCTGCTCTGGTCCCTTGGTAACTCCTAGCTCTTGGATTTGTGTGACTCAGGAAGCCTCCTGCCAGGTGTACCAATGGTCCACCCTGGCCAGCAGCCTATCTCTAGCAGTGCTTCTCTTGAAGGTCTCCTCCCAGAGTCTGGGTGGAGCTGCAGAAGTGGGAATGGGGAATACACAGCGCTCCAACACCTGTCTCCAAAAAACATCCCCCTTTCCAACCTTCTTTCCCATAATTCTTGCCTCCCTTGTGTAGCCTGGAGTGTGGGTCATTGACTAGGGGTTGCAGAATTCTTTTGAATTCTTCCGTCTTCTCTGCCCCATAGAGATGACATAATGAATCATATGGAAACTGCTACTTTTCTCAGTTTCGGGTGTCCAGCTGAAATTCCAGTTAGGAAAATTCCCATTTTGTGTGCTGTTAGAGCTGTAATTACTATTATTTTTCAATAAGTGAGCGGTATCCAGATTCAATGTTTGCAAAGAGATGGGTATATGATCTCCCTCACATGTGTGGGTTGAGGTGCACAGCCTAATCCCTGCCAGTCGGGGGGCATTCACGAAAACCAGCCTTGCTGGACGGATGTGTGATCGTCCCCTGGCCTCGGTAATAATATTAATAGTGGACACTTCCTATCTGCCAGTTACTGGCTAAGTGCTGTAAATATTTCAACTCATTTAATCCCCACTGCAATCCTCTGAGGTTGTTAGTTTGTTCCCATTTCCCCTATTATCAGCAGTTGCTTGTAAGGATATACTTCTGACTAACATGAGTTATTTTTCCTTGGCGACCCTTTTCATTTTCTAAATGTAACAGAGGAGCCCTTTTAAATGTATTCACTTATCCGCAGTCTAGTTCCAGAGAAAACTTGACAAGTGGTAGCTCTACTTTAAGGAGGGTACTATGTCAAATGGAAATGAAGTTACAAGAAGGTGGGAAAGTTTTGGAAACTCAAAAGCATCATACGATTCCAAGATATGATTATTATAATATTCAAGTTTTTTAAAAGCACTTCACATTGTAAATTATTTTTGGATTATCCACAATTCTATGTGGATAATTAGCTGTCACTACGTTATTGAAACACTCCTAGTAATCGATGATTGCTGGTGTAGGAAAGGGTGGCAGATTATCTCCCATGGCAGAATTTCACCCAGTGTTTGTGGTTGTGCAAAAGAACAGACCAAGACCAATTTTTTTTTTTTGTAGCAAAAGAAAACAAAGAAAAGTTAATTAATTGGTGTTCTTTTATACCTTGTCACCACTAAACAATGTTTTGAAATGATGCTCCCTCTGTTTTTGTTCCACTAATTCGTATATATCGATGTGATAATGTTAATCTATTTGCTAATGCAGTACACTAAAATATTTCCACATGCTTGTGCTTTTAATTGAGACCTAGGGTCTTACATGAGTAATTACATTGGAGGAGGCTATATATTTGGCTATAAGGAAACAACAGGCGGTGATGAAATTGTTGGTGACAAAAGGGCAAGGAAGGGAATGAGCAAGAGATAAGCAGAACTATGGACTGAGATGACCTCAAGTGAGAAAGAAAGAGGAGCTGAATTCACAGAATATTTCAAGGCCCTAAATTCCAGTGGTCAAGGGAAGACCAACAGAGTGATGGAATTCACATCAAACAGAGAGGCTGAGGAAGAGGATGGGGGCTTCAGAGATTTAGGTTCCTTTTTGGTAAATTTTTTTTTTTTGGTACTTGGGCCTCTCACTGTTGTGGCCTCTCCCGTTGCGGAGCACAGGCTCCGGACGCACAGGCTCAGCGGCCATGGCTCACGGGCCCAGCCGCTCCACGGCATGTGGGATCCTCCCGGACGGGGGCACAAACCCGCGTCCCCCGCGTCGGCAGGCGGACTCTCAACCACTGTGCCACCAGGGAAGTCCTGCACTGTTTTAATGCATTATTCACTAGATGTTAAAATTCTATGAAATGAAAGCATTTGAATTTGAATCTTTGTATCTATAATTGATATTTAGATACCACTGTATCTAAAGGCCTTTGAAATATAGAAAATTTCAGAAACTTAAATTGGGTAGAATCTCACTAGGTGTGTCCAGCTGGTTGTTCTGACTCGTAGTAAGCTAGGAAATCAGAAATGCCCCCTTGACTCCCCTCAGAACAAGAGAAGAATGTAAAAAGGCATAATTTTTTCTATTAAAATTGTGGAATAAGCCAAACAAATATATTCTCAATGGCATTAGAGGAAAGAAATTTTTGTTTCTGAAATTTAACTTACAACTTTTTTCTTCTCCATTTCCAGCTCCATTTCTTTCTTTTCTTCTTCCCGAATTTTTTTGCGCTGTTCTACATATTCCAGATGCTTGACTTCTCTTTCAAAGTAATGGCTTATACTTGATACCTGTTAGAAACACAGGCCGATGAGAGGGGGACCCACATGGAAGCCCCCATGTTCTTCATGAGGCTCTGAAGAATTTCTGCTGCTTGTAAGTTATTAGCTAGATTACCTGCTTTGGGATAATGCCCACAGGCCCACTATCAGAGGAACTAGCTAATTTGGGGGCTACTGGGCTAAGGTTTAGGGGTCTGCGAATTGGGGAATGGCAGGAAAGGAGTGGGATTGGAAGGCGAGAGCTGCAAAAAATTGCAATTTTGTAGGAGAAATATTCAGGGATTGCTCCCACCCCCCTTCTTTCCTTCTCACTTTTAAGACTAAGGGAAGTTTCACATCATCAGACAAACTTGGAAAACCCAGATGAGTATGTCAATGGAAACTGTAAAGGGACTGGAAGCACAGCTGAGTTCCTGGTCCCCTGGAGAGTTTAGCGTGTGGACGTTAAGAAATGAAGCAGGGAAGTCAGCAGAGACCTTGGGCAAGGCCACCAAGGGAAGGAAAGTTTTTTGCCTACCAGTAACTAGGGTGATGTTGTTGGGACTTGCAACAGATTGCAATCTATATGTTTAATGTTGGTTGCATACATATTTATGTATTTCTACATATTGATCTTCTTTTTATAACCTAATTATTAACACTGCTTGAAACCCTTGGGTGGTGTGCATGGAGTGGCAGAATACTGCCACTTCAGAACTGCTGCCTGCGGCACACAAAGCTGGGGAAGGACGGGTGGAGGCTGGCAATGGAGAGACGCATAAAAATGTCAGCTGGGCCCTCTGGGAAGGATATCACTGAAATAAGGGTCCCACGCTGAGGTTACAACGTGAAAATAGCATCTTATGATTATGAATCCCCAAATCAATTCCTCTCTGAATCTGGGCTTCATTTACTTGGACTTTCTTTTGCTGCATGCTTGTTTTTTTTCCCCTAGCTTTAAACCATTTATCTCATAAAACAGAAATACATCCCCATATTTAAAATTTTTATTTTATATTGGAGCATAGTTGATTAACAATATTGTGTTAGTTTCAGGGGTGCAGCAAAGTGATTCAGTTATACATATACTTGTATCTATTTTTTTTCAAATTCTTTTCCCATTTAGGTTAACATCCCCTTATTTTTGACTGCATGATTCTTTTGTTCTCTTAAAGAGCAAAAATGCTGTCATTTCTGAACATACTTCTAAAACATGCCTCAGCAGTATCTGATCATGTAAATCCTCAAAGCCAAAATTACTAACCTCATTGGTGGAAGGGCGACTTAGTGTCCAAGGAATTTCCAATATATGCAATGTTCCATAATAATCAGCTATGGCTATAAATTGCTGCTTAGCTGAAAGATTAAAAAAATGTGGGAGAAAAACAACTCTGCAATCAGAAAGCCACTTTAGAGGTTAAACATATGCTGTGTTTTTGTTTTGTGATTTCCCAAAGGACCTGTTGTGGTTACAATGATCTTGGCTGAGACCCTGAGTCTTTGTCAGCCACCCTGCTCACCCCCAATCATGTTTTCTCAGCCTCTATATAAGGAGTGTGGCTCCTAGCTGAGATTGACCCTCTCTGACTGGATCCACTGGGCAGATTTGAAAAGAAAGCAGGGACAATACATGGAAGATTTTCAAAAAAAAATTCATCATGCCAATTTTCACCAAAGACATAGTAAGGGCTAAAGGATGCCATTATCCAGATGAATTTCAAAGACACAGCCAGAACCAGTTTTCTTATTATAAAAACAAATTGCTTACTTTGATCATTTAAAATGGATATAAAACACGAATGTGTTTGAAAATTTTAATTTTGTCTCTCATCAGCTTTTTTCTTCTCATTTCCAGCAGGTCTGGTTCAAATTGCTAAATCCTAGACTTGTAATCCCTGGGTATACAAAAGCAATGTTTTGTAGCAAAGACGGGAAAACACACTTTGGTGACACATACGGCCAAGTAGTAGTAGTCAGACTCTGACACTCTTAGAGATTCTGAAGACTGTTTCTAAATGTAATGTTTCTTCTGAGAAAGAAATGAATAGAAAGACAATTTTATGCCTGCACATCTTTGGAAACAAAGGGAAACTTCTTTGAAATGAAGCAAATATACACTGAATTTGGGTAGAAAGTATTACTTGGGTGAAACAGAGAAATTGGGACAAAGGATATAAATTACTTTTCCATCGACACATTCTTAAATTTCTGCTTGCTCTGTTATACATTATCTTTTTCCTCTTAATGAGTTTAAAAGTTATAGTTTAAAGAGATATATGACCCCGCAGAGTCGTTTGATCTCAAGAAGGAAACTGCTTGATATTGTCCAGTGGAGGGCCATAAAGTGACAACATATTGAAAATTTGTGACATAATGAAATATTAAAGGTACAGAACTTATTCAATTTGGAAAAGAAGCAGCAAAAAGTAGCAAAGATTTAGGGTTCACCCTGTGATTTAGGGACCCCGAGAGGGTGTGAAGGATGCTTTTTTTTTTTTTCGGTATGTGGGCCTCTCACTGTTATGGCCTCTCCCGTTGTGGGGCACAGGCTCCGGACGCTCAGGCTCAACGGCCACGGCTCACGGGCCCAGCCGCTCCGCGGCATGTGGGATCCTCCTGGACCGGGGCACGAACCCGTGTCCCCTGCATCGGCAGGCGGACTCTCAACCACTGCACCACCAGGGAAGCCCGAGAAGGATGCTTTTTATTGTGTGGTTTAAAATCAGCCTCTGCTTGACATAATAAAATGTGTCTCAGAAATAACTGTGATGAAGAAAATAGTGAGAGAAGCTCAGGTTGTATCCAGAATTTGAAAAGGGAAAGGAAGGGGAATGATGGGAAGGAAAGACAAAGGAAGGGAAGAGATGGAATGGGAAGGAAAATCTTGAGAAGAAACATCAGAGGCTTTCCAGTTGAATGTCAAAATGTTCCTAAGCTAGCCCCAAAAGGCAAAATGACTTAGCTCATTCAATCAGAATTAACATACCAGAAAATGTCCAGGGTTTGATGTATGTGATCATAGTTATACAGATGTTTTGTGACTGGGCTGGTTCGTGGGTTTTCTCCAGAAGGTCCCAGATATCAATGTATCCATCTTCTCGGCCAATGTAAAAGACTCCAGGCCTTGTCAGGGACCAGTGCCCTGAGGTGTACCTTTTTGGTGCACAGGATGACTGAAGGAGGGGTCCAGTCTAAAAATAAATTATAAAAAACATATTAAAAGCTTTTGTTGTTATCTGAGAGATATTCACAATGATTTTTTAAAAGTAAAACTCAGATGGCTATGATCACATAAAAGATCAAACCTTCCAATTGAGCTATTTATGGTTCTAATAATCCAACTGCTGCTAAATCCCATTGCTATTTCTATGGAGATTGATGGACACCAGATAAGTAAAGATTATAAGCAAATTTTGCCTATATCTCTATTCTCCTGTCAGGTTCCTGCTCACCATGGAAATAGCTCTGGTGGGCAGGAAAACGGAATGAAAAGTCTATTCTATCTGTGAGCTGCATCCAATGGCTTATTAATATTATTTGGGAGAGATTCTGGACCACCAAAGCAACATAAGATCGTCTTATCTTTTCTCTATTTTGGGGTAATTTGCCTTCTTTGGGAGGTTTTCATAGAGACTGAAGATCAGAATGTGCTCTCTTCCTACCGTCATGCTCCACCTGGGCTCATTCACCTACTTACATCTGCGGGACTAAACTAAGTCACGGAGCTGCTTTCCACCTTCCCATACATGCAAACAAAACCTTCCTACAGGGAACAAAGAAGGTCACCAATTCACGGACTCTTTGGAGGCAACAGGCCAAACCTGTTGCTTGGCTCCTTCAGTTTTGGTGGATAACCAGGTTCCTGACCCCTGCATGGTCTTTGAACAATCTTGCCTACATTTCTTTTGTCTTTCTCTTTAACTGCAAAACTATTGTTTGCTTGTTGTAAAAAAAAAAAAAAAAGAGCATACAAAAGTACATTGTTATAAAATAGAAGTCCTTTTGTAGATGGACACTTAAGGAGTTTCAACATTTTTCAATGACAAACTTGTACATATATTCACACACGTTATTTTTTTGAGTATTCCTGTAAGTTAGAGTCCCAGAAATAAAAGGAAAAAAAAGCGTTAGGTCGAAGAATACATATATTACAGCTCTGAAATATATACATACACACACACACACACACACACATATATATACACATACTTTTTTACAGATTCTGATAATTTTCTTAAGTAGCTCATCAGAGGGACATATCATACTGATTTTCCCGTGCCCTTGCTTCACTAGATTTTACCAGTCTTTCTAGTTTTTGGCAGTTTAGCTTCTGTCTGCCTGGACCCAGGCCCTGTCCTAATCCGGACTACTGGATTCTTCGCACTGCCTCACCTTGACCCATGCACGTCTCTGCCTGCCTGGTGACGGACCCCTTAGCTTTCCTAGTCCCACTTTCTGAGCCTGCTGACAAATTGCCCGGTGCAAGAGCAGTGACAGACCCATTGCTTCTCCTTAGGCTTCGTGCCATAATCAGCATTCCATCTTGTATTTTAAGCAGAGGGAAAAACATAAATCAAGGGAACTGCCCATGATATACACAGTATTTCGAAGAAAAGACTGTTTGGTTTCAGAGAACTAAAGACTTGTAAATGTTTCCTTCCCTCAGCAAAGAAAAGCAAATGGTTGTGTTTTCCAAAGGCTTGCAGTGGTTCTGCTGACAGGCTGGGGCCCAGGCCACCTGTTTCAATTTCTCTATAAAATGTCCCAAAGGCATTGTTATGTCAGAACAGTCTGCTGTTCCTATTGTTTTTCTCAATAACAAAGGACCACACACCCACTCCTCCATTTTGCAGGCAACTTACCGTAATACCTTCTTTCCAGATGGCCACGTTCCAACCCCCAACAGTGAGGATAATGTCCTTGTAAAAAGGTGATCTCTGAACCGTGTGGACACCTCCATCATGGACTGTGTAGAGGCTCAAGGGCTTCTTTGCTGTTGGAGTGGAAAAGGCCATTTCACCTTTTATAACACTGTTTACATTCCTGCAATGAAGAATGGGCAGACCTTCGATGGACAGATAGGTCCCGATTAATGAGGTCCAAGAGTGGAGAACCAGAGGTCAGTTGGGGTGAATGAATCTGTCAAGGGACAGCTCCTCCTCTTTTTTAAGGAAAGTCCAGGGAAATTCCCATCAAGGCTACTTTTCAGGCTCAAAGGAACACTTCCTGTTCTTATTCATTCACTCATTTATTAGTCTATCAGTTAGTCAATAGTATATATTGTTAGTCAATAAGTAATTGTGGATTGTTTGTATGTACCAGGTACTGTAGATGGATGGGTAAACAATGGTTAATAAACAAACATGATCTGTCCTCTTGGACCTTACAGTCCAGTGGAAAGACTCAACAAACAAATCCCAAGGTATATAATAAAAAAAAATGTGAAAAGTATTATGAAGTAAAAAATATCACAAGAAAGAATAACAAGGGACATTCGTAATTTAGGCTGAATGGTCAGAACAGGCTTCTCTGAAGATGAGTCATCTAGGCTTGAGTTCACGGGAAGATTTTGGTGTGGAGTAGCATTCCAGACAGAAGGAAAAATACACGCCAAAGTCCTGAGAAGTGTTTAGTGCATTTATTATTTTGAAGAAGGCAATAAGACTGGAGTCTGATAATCGCAGGGTGAGACATAGGAAACAAATGGAGACCAGGAGAGTCCAGACCTTGCAAAGCCTTGTTAGGAAAAACATTTAGATTACATTCTAAGTGTAATGTTTTTTAATGAGCCCTTTAGGCCTAGAAGACTATCTGACTGACATATGAAAGGATTCTCTGGTTGCTGTGGCGAGAATGGATCAGAGGCAGGTAAAACCAAAGAGGGGACACCATGGGAGGTTGTTGCTGTAGCTCTAGTGAGAGAGAATGGTGACTTGGATGAAGGTGCAATGGAGGAGGGGATAATCAAGAAACATTTGCAAGCTAGAGTTGACAGGAGGGGTGAGAGAGATGAGTGCTGAGAATGGCAGCCAGGTTTCTGGTAAGAGCAACAGGCTCTCTGTACTTTCCATTTATTGCAACTGGGAACACTAGAGGACAAGCAGATTTGGATATTAAGATGAAGACTTCCTTGCTGTCTCTGCCCCAGGCACCAGGGTCCTTCTGCTCCCCTGGTCTGCCTACCCCGCCATGGCTTGGGTTTCCTCTACCCGGTCCTGGCTTTGATGCTGGCTGCTCCTTATTCCTTGCTGCCCATACCCACAAGCCCCAGGGATGGCCATAAAAATATGTGCCTGTCCAGGCCAAACCACAATGTGTGGCTATTTTATACTAAAACCATGACTTTACTCTGAAACTTATCATATTAACAGCTATGTGAAGTTTGGATTTTTTTTTTTCTCAGAACAACAATGTAATATTAAGCAAAAAAAAAAAAAAGCTACCATAATCTTGTAAAAAGCTGATACAGTGTCAAAGAGATATTTGTCCACCCATGTTCATAGCAGCATTATTTGCAATACCAAAAAGACAGAAGCAACCCAAGTGTCCATCAATGAATGAATGGATAAACAAAATGTGGTATATCCATACAATGGAATATTATTCATCTTTCAAAAGGAAGGGAATTCTGACATACATTACAACAGGAAAGAAAATTGAGTATATTATTTTAAGGGAAATAAGCCAGTCACAAAAAGGCAAATACTGGGACTTCCCCAGCCGTCCAGGGGTTAAGACTCTACCTGCCAATGCAGGAGGCACAGGTTTGATCCCTGGTTGGGGAACTAAGATCCCACATGCCGTGTGGTGTGGCCAAAAACTTAAGAAAAAAGGCAAATACTGTATGACTCTACTTACATGAGGTACTTACAACAGGTACATTCATAGAGATAGAAAGTAGAATGGTGGTGGTCAGGAGCTAAGGGGAAAGAGGAGTGGGGAGCTAGTGTTTAATAGGTACAGAGTCTCAGTTTCACAAGATGAAAAGAGTTCTGGAGATTGGTTGCACAACAATGTGAATGTACTTAACTCCCCTGAACTGTACTTAAAAATGGTTAAGATGTTAAATTTCTTGTTTATGTATATTTTTATCTCAATGTGAAAGTTATTTAAAAAAAGTGTATACAGTAAAAGTAAATAAGTTTAAACATAGCTCTTCTAGGTTAAAAGAGACCAATTTTCCTCTAACCAAAGCTCCATCTTGAAGACAGCACAGAAGCCTTATTTCTAAGGGCACCTTGAAGTGATCTGGAGGATTTCTGGGAAAGCAGGAGACCCCTGGAAGCCAGCAGCTTTCTTCTTGCTGCTGCTTGTGTCCCTCAGATCCTGGTTTTGTCCTTGGTGAGCTGAGCTTTCCTACACCACCTCACTCTGGTGAGCAGGGCTATCCAGGAGTCTAGAAGCCCTCTGCAAAATGTAATGACCACCAGTGTTAGGAATATAGATAGCCATCAAGATTTGTACTTTTAACATGTTAGAGGTTCTCAGCCCATATAACTTTTTCTTCCTTTTGTCCTTTGGAAGACCTTAGAGCCATTCAGCAGTAAATGGAGCTGTCCTTAAGTTATTAAATGAAATGCCAGAGCCCCCAGCCAAGTTACTATAAGAAACTTACAATAAACAAAACGGTAGTTTTCCAGAGTCATTATCTAATGAAGGATTTAGTGGTTAAGAGCACAGACTGTCTGGGTTCAAATCCAGTGTTGCTGTGAGGATTAATCCATGGAGAGTATTGAGTGCCTAACACATGACGTGTGCCAATTTGTGAGTTGAGTACATGAGATGATTATGTTAACTGTCATCATCATCAAATACATCAGCCTGTATTTCTTGGCTTGTCACTTAGATCATCTGTTTGATTTGGACTTCATCACACACAGCTCAGTCAGGGTAATCTGTCTTTCAGAAGTTTCTTCTTAGAAAAGGAAATTCTCCTTCCCGCCTTGTATATTTGAGATAAGAACATGGGGCTCCCAGCAGATCAAGAGAAAATGGCCCCCAGTATTTGCCTCATCTTTACCCAGGAAACCTCCATGGTGTTTATGGAAGACATCAGGCTGGTAGCTTCCAAGGAAAACACTGCCAGTTCACAGAATGTTAAGTAGGGCATGCAATTTACAGTTCGGCAAGTCTACACATTGGCTTTCCCTGAACTTCAACCATTATCCAATGGAAGTAACAGTGTCATTTGGCTTTCCATGTTACAAAATACTTGACCGGTAATTTTAAAGTATTAAGATGACTTAAAAAATAGCCTTTAAGTAGGTAGTTAGAGCTATTTCTCATTTTTTTGGAATGAATTAAATGTCAAGAACTTAACAGCAACTTCTCTTTTTCTTTCCCACTCACATCCCACTGGTCACAAAGTCCTGGCACGATGACTTGTATATCTCTCTCTCCCTCTTGTATTTCCTCTGCTGGACATCCTTGTCACCCTGCCTGTACATCAGTCCTCTCCATCTCTCATCTAGGCTATTGCAACTGGCCATCCTACTTCCCACCAGTTAATTAACCCCTGCTCTCCTGACAGAGTGATTTTCTGATTATACTGGTGGTACTAGGATACGGTCCACAGGTTAGTAAAGCACTCAAGGCTCTTTGCCGTCTCAACTCAAATGTCCTTCCTGGTACCCTTCCTGGTACTGCTGCTGTTGCCCTCTCTATTACCATGCTTTGGTCAGAAGATCTCCCTGTTTACTAATTGTGCACTGCTCTTCTGAGCTTCCGTGTTTTTGCACTTATCCGTCTTTCCACCTGGAATGCCTTTCTCCAGCTGGAAACTTGCAAACCACCCACCTGGGCGTGTCCCTCACACCTCTGTCCGTCTGCCCAGAGTCTGGGCCCCGGGAGCAGGGGAGCACGTGGGCACGACCAGTCCCAGCCCCAAAGGAGGGCCCTAGAGTTAACTTCTCCCATACAGGGCTGAGGTCTGCAAGATCATGGTAAATTTAGCTTATAATTTCATGCTGACTCAGAATTTCCACATAGCTGAGCTACTGGGTTGTTGAATTATTGAAACAGCATGGTTATTTTAAAACTGAATTGTCCAAGGGTCTCCGTAATTTAAGTATCAATACATCAGTGCTCCTCAAATTTCAGTGTGAAAACAAATCACCTGGAGAATTTTATTAAAATATGTATTCAGCTTCAGCAGGCCTGGGGTAGGATCCAAGATTTTGTTTTTCTAACAAGCTCCCAGGTGACAACTGTGCTGTTTGTCCGAAGCCCTCACTTTGAGTAACAAGTGTAGAGTCAGAACCTCAGGTGCCCTCTCTCACATTAGCAAGGACAGGGTTACTCGTACTCCGTAAAAAAGAAATAAATGATTAATAACAGAGCAATCACCAAAACTTACTCATAACTCGGCCAGTTTCAGGGTCTCTTTCCATTTTCCAGTCTGTGTATATCACTTCACCTTCCTAAAAATATTACAGTTTCCTGATGAGACAACTTAAAAGACAAAAGTCCTCTTATTCATGTGCTAAGACTGACCAAGACCCAAACAAACGCAAAGTAACAAGTCAATTTAATCAAACGATAATTTGGTGCAGTGTGGGGAGGGAAGGCTCAAAATGATTACTTGATTTTATATTAAACAAAAAAAATGAATTTGTTGAGTTTTTATCTACACACATCAATGGGGAGAACACAGGCAATTACGAAGCTATTCTAGGTACACAAGTTCCAATTGCTGGGTTCCCAAAGTCGTTGTTAACAAAAAATTGTCCCAATAGACTGAAAGCTCCAGAAGGGGAGGGATCTAGTCTGCCTTATTCAGTGATTTGTTCTCAGCATGTTACAAAGTCAGTACTTAATAAATATTCATGGAATAAGAGAGAAAGAGGGAATATGTATGGTACTCATCACCTTTGAAAGTTGAGAAGAGGAAACAGAGTTCTAGCCAAATGACATAACAAGTAATATGTATTCCAGTTCTACTTATGGCCATTTTAAGGAGAAGAGAAAGAAGAGGGACCTGGTGTAAACAAGAGGCAGAAATTGCCACACAAAGGGGAAAGACAGACAGAACCAGTGAATGAAGAGGTGGGAGAGGTTCAGAGAAAAAATTTAGTCCCAGGCCACCATCTTACAAATGTAAAACCCAGATGCAGTCTCCTAATCCCAATGTTTTTTTCATTAAATAATAAGAGGAAAACACAGAGAAGGGTATATATTAAGATGAGTTAAGAGGACTCAGAGGACGGGATGGATTGGGATACATAGGTGAGAGAGAGGAGATGGGAAAACATTTGATTTATGCAAAGTGAAGGACAATCTCATGGGACCAGGGCCACTCATTCATTCACTCATCTGTGCTTTCATTCATCCATGTCAACTCATTTAACAAACAAGGACTGTGTGTGGCGCTGGAAATTCAGAGTCTGAGGACAAGCCCTCCCTCCCCTCTTAGTACACAGTCTAAGGGAACAGACAGCCTGGGATGCGTCTACTGTACACCTCTAGCCCATCGCCTGTGGCATTTCACCCTTGGAGTTACCATTTCCTGAGCACTCAGTGCTGCTGGAGTTGTTAGGAGCTTTACGTACATGACCCCAGCCCTCACCAAAGTCCTGTAAGAGAGTTAATATCTCCTGGCTCTCACAGCTGGTATGTGAAACTGAAACTGAACCGAGTCACGGGAATAATTTGCACCAGGTTAATAAATATGTGTTGAGTGGTGATTACATCACCAGCCACTTGGCTAGAAACCTTCACATCCCTCTCCATCTGGTTACCTAGTTCCGACAATTCCACCGCCCCCATGCCTGTGTGACATTCTCGGCCCCACTGCTCAGGCCCTCTTCACCACTGGGTGGGCCCACCTGAGACCACTGTCTACCAGGCCTCTCTGCCTCCAGGGCTCCACTTCCTCCAGCTTCAGCCCTGAGCCAGCCAACCTAGATCCCAGAGAGGCATCCCTTAAACTCTCTATCCAAAGTACAAGGATCAGTCAGCCACGTCAGGGGTTGGCAGGAGAGCGTCCCACTGGATGGTCAGCCCCACGAGGGCAGGGAATTTTGGATGTCTGTTCTCTGCTATATTCCCTGGGCTAAGAACAATGTTTGGTATATATTAAATATTCAGTAAATATCTGCTGAATAATGAATGATATTCACTCCAAGGAGTGCAAAGACTTGAAAGGCAGGAAAGAGTTTGGTAAGAAGAATGAGAGAAAAAATCAGAGAAGACAGAGAGAGTGAGTAGACTGGTGCAGATGGGGGTGGAGAGAGAAAAAGGGGACAAATGATGCAGAATCTTACATCATTTGGTGTAAGGAGTTTGGATTTTTCATGTGTCACTAAGTAGTCACTAAAGAGTTTAAGCAGAGGGTGTCATGCTTTAATTTCTGCTTTAAGATTTTGTGGTCATTTCTCTTTCTAAAGCTATCATCCTTGGCTCACAAAACTTTGGTGTGCACAGAGACAAATATTATATGAATCCACTTACATGAGGTACCTAGGACAGTGAAATTCATTGAGACAGAAAGAATGGTGGTGCCAGGAGTGGGAGGCAGTAGGGAATGGGGAGTTACTGCTTTAATTGCTACAGAAGCTTAATTTGGGAAAATGAAATAGTTCTCAAGATGGATGGTGGTGATAGCTACTCAACGATATGAATGTACTTAATACAACTGAACTGTACACTTAAAAATGTTTAAGGGGGACCTTCAAGATGGCGGAGGAGTAAAACGTGGAGATCACCTTCCTCCCCACAAATACATCAAAAATACTTCTACATGGGGAACAACTCCTACGGAACACCTACTGAACGCTGGCAGAAGACCTCAGACCACCCAAAAGGGTCTTGGTGCTCCAGCCGGGTGTCAAGCCTGAGCCTCTGAGGTGGGAGAGCTGAGTTCAGGACACTGGACCACCAGAGACCCCCTGGCCCCACATAATAGCAAATGGTGAAAGCTCCCCCGGAGATCTCCATCTCAACGTGAAGACCCAGCTCCACTCAATGACCAGCAAGCTCCAGTGCTGGAAACCCTATGCCAAACAACTAGCAAGACAGGAACAGAACCCCACCCATTAGAACAGAGGCTGCCTAAAATCATACTAAGTTCACAGATACCCCAAAACACACCACCAGACGTGGTACTGCCCACCAGAAAGACAAGATCCAGCCTCACCCACGAGAACACAGGCATCAGTTCCCTCCACCAGGAAGCTTACACAACCCACTGAAGCAACCTTACACATTGGGGTCAGACACCAAAAACAATGGGAAATACATACGCGCAGCCTGTGAAAAGGAGACCCCAAACACAGTCAGCTAAGCAAAATGAGAAGACAGAAAAATACACAGCAGATGAAGGAGCAAGGTAAAAACCCACCAGACCAAACAAATGAAGAGGAAATAGGCAGTCTACCTGAAAAAGAATTCAGAAATGATAGTAAAGATGATCCAGAATCTTGGAAATAGAACGGAGAAAATACAAGAAATGTTTAACAAGGACCTAGAAGAACTAAAGAGCAAACAAACAACCATGAACAACACAATAAAAGAAATTAAAAATTCTCTAGAAGGAATCAATAGCAGAATAACTGAGGCAGAACACAAAAGACCCTGAATAGCCAAAGCAATCTTGAGAAAGAAAAACGGAGCTGGAGGAATCAGGCTCCTTGACTTCAGACTACACTGCAGAGCTACAGTAATCAGGACAGTATGGTACTGGCACAAAAACAGATATATAGGTCAATGGAACAGGATATAAAACCCAGAGATAAAACCACATACATATGGTCACATTATCTTTGATAAAGGAGGCAGGAATATACAATGGAGAAAAGCCAGCCTCTTCAATAAGTGGTGCTAGGAAAACTGGACAGTTACATGTAAAAGAATGAAATTAGAACACTCCCTAACACCATACACAAAAATAAAGTCAAAATGGATTAAAGACCTAAATGTAAGGCCAGACACTATAAAACTCTTAGAGGAAAACCTAGGCAGAGCACTCTACGACATAAATCACAGCAAGATCCTTTTAGACCCACCTCCTAGAGAAATGGAAATAAAAACAAAAATAAACAAATGGGACCTAATGAAACTTCAAAGCTTTTGCACAGCAAAGGAAACCATAAACAAGACAAAAAGACAACTCTCTGAATGGGAGAAAATATTTGCAAACGAAGCAACTGACAAAGGACTAATCTCCAAAATATACAAGCAGCTCATGCAGCTCAATATCGAATAAACAAACAACCCAATCCAAAAATGGGCAGAAGACCTAAATCAACATTTCTCCAAAGAAGATATACAGATTGCCAACAAACAGGTGAAAGGATGCTCAACATCACTGATCATTAGAGAAATGCAAATCAAAACTGCAATGAGGCATTACCTCACACCGGTCAGAATGGCCATCATCAAAAAATCTAGAAACAATAAACGCTGGAGAAGGTGTGGAGAAAAGGGAACCCTCTTGCACTGTTGGTGGGAATGTAAATTGATACAGCCACTATGGAGAACAGTATGGAGGTTCCTTAAAAAACTAAAAATAGAACTACCATACGACCCAGCAATCCCACTACTTGGCATATACCCTGAGAAAACCATAATTCAAAAAGAGACACATACCACAATATTCACTGAAGCTCTATTTGCAATAGCCAGGACATGGAAGCAACCTAAGTGTCCCTCAACAGATGAATGGATAAAGAAGATGTGGCACATATATACAATGGAATATTACTCAGCCATAAAAAGAAACGAAACTGAGTTATTTTTAGTGAGGTGGATGGACCTAGAGACTGTCATACACAGTGAAGTAAGTAAGAGAAAAACAAATACTGTATGGTAACACATATATATGCAATCTCAAAAAAAAATAAAAACGTTCTGAAGAAACTAGGGGTAGGACAGGAATAAAGATGCAGACGTAGAGAAAGGAGTTGCGGACACGGGGAGGGGAAGGGCAAGCTCGGATGAAGTGAGAGAGTGGCATGGACATATATACACTACCAAATGTAAACTAGATAGCTAGTGGGAAGCAGCCACATAGCACAGGGAGAATAGCTTGGTGCTTTGTGTCTACCTAAAAAGGTGGGAGAGGGAGGGTGGGAGGGAGATGCAAGGGGGAGGGGATATATGTATATGTATAGCTGATTCACTTTGTTATACAGCAGCAACTAACACAACCATGTAAAGCAATTATACTCCAATAAAAAAAATAAGAAAGAAAACTTATGGATTATGCAGCCAAAAAAAATGGCTAAGATGGTAAATTTCATGTTTATGCATATTTTGTCATTATTGTTATTATGTTCAGTTGTTATTTATCTTTTGAATTGAGTGAGTTTTTCACTCTCTTTCCTACTAGATTGTTCTGGCCTAACAAAGCAATATATTTTCTTAGTAAATCTCTAACGCTTTGCATGGTTTCTTCCATACGGTATAGGTGTTCGATAAATATTTGCAGAGGCTGGTCAAAAAATTATTAGTAAAAAGAGTCATACCTAATTTTATAGACTTTTCCACTTTTGTTCAGGAACATCTCAAATATGAAGCTATGAGGCACTGAGCTTAAAACTTTTAAATGCAAGCAAGCGTATAACAATATGAAAACAGTATAAATATTGTAAGCCAAAAGATAGAAGACTGCAAAAAATATTGTAAGTTCTCAAAAGGCAAACATACTGTAGAGGTCATAATCACTTATTTCAATGTAATTTAGAAGCAGATAAATCCAACTCACCTCTGTTCCCACAAAGAACTTGGTGCAGAAGTCATCTATTGGCTTGAGATGATTGCCCAACCCACCTTCCAGATTCTGGTATGGGTTCATTTCTCCTGCTTTCATTGCTTTGCTTTGGGCTAACATTTTGTCTTTTGGAGTTGTATGGATAGAAGAAACACATATTTACACTGAAAGATCTTCTAAAATATCGTTAGTTTGTATTCTCTGTCCTTTGTGACACATATCCGCCCCATTTCTTCCCCAGTGTGGTGGGCATAAGTCCAAGCGTTTTTAGACTTGTAATTTAGCAGTAGAATGCCTTTTTCAAACCAAAGTTTGTGCGGACTCCGCTGACTGTAAAACTGATCAAAGCTGCACTGCTCTGGTTGAAGTGTTTCATGGGTGGGAAAGGGAAGATTCCTCTGCCCACTTTTCAGGGGCTCTAAAAGTTTCCATGGCACAGTTTGAAAACAAATTCTACACCATTTACATCATTTCAGAATTATTTACAGTATATCGGACACAAAATACATCCTCTGGGTTAAATAACACCCTTGATTTTCTCAATAAGTCATTGGTATTTCTCTTGACTTGTTAACACCCTTGATATTCTCTAATGAGAAACTCATGTCATTTTTATTCAGTTGGCATCATACAGCAATTTTTCAAATAATTCAAGGTTAGTCTCTCAAGTACCAAAAATTTTTTAACTTCTAAAAAATAAATCCATCTAAAATGTGTTACTTGTTTGTTATAAACACAGCATACGGAACACAATTTAATGTTTGCTGATTAGTTCAGGTTTATTATTTACGAACATCAATGATTGTGCTATATTACAGCTATCCATGCAAACAGTAAGAGCACAGTTAATCTGGGGTCTGAAACTCAAATGTTATCTGGAACTTCTTTCTTTTTAAAAGTATCTGGTGTCAGTCAGATACTTTTGTTATCTAAAATTAATAAATATTATTTGTTGAGATCTAAAATTAATAAATGCTATTTGTTGAGACCTGAAATTAATGAATGTTATTTGAAGCTTTGGAAAAGAGATAAAAGCATGAATAAAATAACAAAAATCCTTCATTATCATGTTTCCCAGAGGCAACCACTATTAAAATATTGGTATATTTTTCCCTCTATTACTTTTTGGTGAATATATATAGACTATTTTTTAAGTGAGTACTCTAGCTTTTTATCCTGCTTTTCTATTCTCTTAAAGATATGTCTGGGGCATTTTCCCAAATCACTTATTTTTTTTAAATGTGATATTAAATTTCTTGGAAAGATCATAAAGAAATATAAGCTCACAATACTTTACTCATCACACCTCCTTAATGCATCCTCTGGGTTGTATCAATCATGGGAAAATCAACTAACAAACACATACATGAAAACTAAAATAGGAGAAGAAAACTTCAGCTACACTAAAAATACACATTGCATTTCAAAAAACTTTTGAAAGTAATTCCAGACAAAAGTAAACGATAATCATCATGATTTAGTAGGTATAGACAACCAACAGTTCCTTTGTTTGGGATCTACACGTTTTGAGCAGTCCCTTTCATATTGGGTAAGACATTAAAAACAAGTACCAAAGTAAGCCAAACATGGAAGCTTTAAATAGCTGTATTATGAAATATCATCAACATTTTAAGAAATAACTAGGCACATTCAATCACATTGTTCTTACTAAAAGATATTATTCATAATACATTTAGCAAGAGCAAAAAGGCATTTCGTACCCATTTAATACATAAAATTAAAATCATTAAAATATTTATTTCAAATTCTTCACTCTCATTTTTATGTCAGTTTTTCTCTTTTTAAAATCATGTACATAAATATATTAGTAGAGTAGAACATGTGTATAATTTGTAAATAAATACATGTTCACTGGGGATATGTGCTCAAAAATGTTTCCTGAGGGGGTGCAAGAGAGAAAGGTTTGGAACCCTCTAGCCTAACAAGGGGAGACAAGAGCCTGATCCAGGGGTCACTACTGATAATGAAAAGGCAAAGGCAAATGTTCAACGTATTATAAACAAAGACTTAATTACCCTGTGTGAGAGACTGGGTATGGCGGCCTTGGGAGAGAGGCAGGGATGACTCACGTTATGGGTTCTGTTCCAGACACAGATGTTGTAGGATTAGGTTGGGTTCAATCCCAAGAGATGGTGAGAGGCGAGACTTAAGGATTCTCAGCAGAGGTGAGAGAATACACTGTGTTACCAAAGGGAGAGTGCGTAACAAGGAAAGCACACAGGTGAAGTTAGAGTTTGAGGTATATTCATGATGAGAGGGCAGTAAGGTGAAACGGAGGCAGGAAAGAGGAAAGAAACTGAAGGAGGATCAGGAAAATCACAAAAGCCAAGGTGGGAGCTCCAAGAAAATGGGCTTAGTTGATAGAGTTTAATGTGATGGTCAAAGAGGATGAAGCCAGAGAGAAATATTATCATCAACTGCATTTACTCAGACTTGACTGGAATAACTTGGATATTTATTCAATTCAATGTCATCCTCATGGGTCATGGATTTTCCATCACCAGGAATAGTAATAATAATAGCAGCTAACATTTATTGAGTGTTTACTACATGCCAGACACTAAACTGTGTGGGCTAAACCATTTCATTCATTTCTCACAATAACTCCTGAGGTGGTAAAGCATTAATCCTCCTCCCTGGGTGAGTAAACTGAGCCTCAGAGATATGCAGTAGCTTGCCCAAGGGCTCACGTATGGTAGTTAACATTTATTGTGAGTTGATGACGGGCTGTTCTTAGAGCTTTACATGTATTAACTCATTTTATCTTCACAACACTCTAAGAGGTAGTTACCTTTATTATTTACTCCCCTTGTCTTCATCTCTCCCTTTTCAAATAGGTGGGGAAAAAAATAGTAAGGTACAGAGAGATAAAGCCATTTGATCTGTTCAAATAATAAATTGTGGCTTTGTGATTTAAACACAGACTCCAGAATCCACATCCTAAAGTATTCTGACACATTGCTTAGAAGAATATAATGGAGGCTTTGAAGAAAATTCCCAAAGAGGCATTCCAGAACCATTTAGAGCAAAGATTTGTATGGAAACACAAAAGACCCCGAATAGCCAAGGCAATATTGAGAAAGAAAAATGGAGCTGAAGGGATCAGGCTCCCAGACTTCCAACTACACAACAAAGCTACAGTAATCAAGACAGTATGGTACTGGCACAAAAACAGAAATATAGATCAGTGTTACAGGATAGAAATCCCAGTGATAAAACCACGCACATATGGTCACCTTATTTTTGATAAAGGAAGCAAGAATATATAATGGAAAAAAAAGCAGCCTCTTCAATAAGTGGTGCTGGGAAAACTGGACAGCTACATGTAAAAGAATGAAATTAGAACACTCCCTAACACCATACACAAAAATAAAATCAAAATGGATTAAAGACCTAAATGTAAGGCCAGACACTATAAAACTCTTAGAGGGAAACATAGGCAGAACACTCTATGACATAAATCACAGCAAGATTCTTTTTGGCCCACCTCCTAGAGAAATGGAAATAAAAACAAAAATAAACAAATGGGACCTAATGAAACTTAAAAGTTTTTGCACAGCAAAGGAAAACATAAACTAGATGAAAAGACAACCCTCAGAATGGGAGAAAATATTTGCAAATGAAGCAACTGACAAAGGGCTAATCTCCAAAATATACAAGCAGCTCGTGCAGCTCAATATCAAAAAAACAAACAACCCAATCCAAAAATGGGCGGAAGACCTAAATAGACATTTCTACAAAGATATACAGATTGTCAACAAACAGGTGAAAGGATGCTCAACATCACTGATCATTAGAGAAATGCAAATCAAAACTGCAATGAGGTATCACCTCACACCGGTCAGAATGGCCATCATCAAAAAATCTAGAAACAATAAACGCTGGAGAGGAAAGGGAGCCCTCTTGCACTGTTGGTGGGAATGTAAATTGATACAGCCACTATGGAGAAAAGTATGGAGGTTCCTTAAAAAACTAAAAATAGAACTACCATACGACCCAGCAATCCCACTACTGGGCATATACCTTGAGAAAACCATAATTCAAAAAGAGACATGTACCACAATGTTCATTGAAGCTCTATTTGCAATAGCCAGGACATGGAAGCAACCTAAGTGTCCATCGAGAGATGAATGGATAAAGAAGATGTGACACATATATACAATGGAATATTACTCAGCCATAAAAAGAAACGAAACTGAGTTATTTGTAGTGGGGTGGATGTACCTAGAGTCTGTCATATAGAGTGAAGTAAGTCAGAAAGCGAAAAACAAATACCATGTGCTAACACATATATATGGAATTAAAGAAAAAAAAAGGTTCTGGGCTTTCCTGGTGGCGCAGTGGTTGAGAGTCTGCCTGCCGATGCAGGGGATGAGGGTTCGTGCCCCGGTCCGGGAAGATTCCTCATGCCGCGGAGTGGCTGGGCCCGTGAGCCATGGCCGCTGAACCTGCGCTTCCGGACCCTGTGCTCCGCAATGGGAGAGGCCACAACAGTGAGAGGCCTGCGTATCGCAAAAAAAAAAAAAAAAAAAGGTTCTGAAGATCCTAGGGGCAGGAATAAAGACGCAGACATAGCGAATGGAGTTGAGGACACGTGGAGGGGGAAAGGTAAGCTGGGATGAAGTGAGAGAGTGGCATGGACATATATACACTACCAAATGTAAAACAGATAGCTAGCAGGAAGCAGCTGCATAGCACAGGGAGATCAGCTCGGGGCTTTGTGACCACCTAGAGGGGTGGGATAGAGAGGATGGGAAGGAGACGCAAGAGGGAGGAGATATGGGGATATATGTATATATATAGCTGATTCACTTTGTTATAAAGCAGAAACTAACACACCATTGTAAAGCAATTATACTCCAATAAAGATATTTTTAAAAAATGAATAAGTATAGAACTTCTTAAAGTGGCTACTTACACGGGCAATGATTTTTATGGATCTAACATTTCAAAGGAAATGTTAAGAGAATAACACAACAACTTAAAAGAGTATAAATCACAGACTGGGAGAAAATATTTGCAAATCATATGTTTGATAAAGAACTAGTATGCAGATTATATTAAGAACTCCTAAGACGTAATAATAAGAAAACAAACAACACAAGTAAAAAATGGACAAAAGATTTGGACACTTCACCAAGGAAGATATACAGGTGGCAAACAAATACATGAAAATATGTTCAACATCTTTAGCCATTAGGTAAACACGAATAAGATAATCAGTACACACATTTTATTTTATTTTATTTTATTTATTTGGCTGCACCACGCGGCATACAGGATCTTAATTCCCCGACCAAGGATTGAACCTGTGCCCCCTGCAGTGGAAGCATGGAGTCTTAACCACTGGACCGCCAGGGAAGTCCCAGTACACACATTTTAGAATAGTTAAATTAAAATGACTAGTCACACCAATTGCTTGTGAGGATGTGGAAAAAAAGGAACTCTCATATACTGCCAGGGGAATGTAAAATGGTACAACCACTTTGGAAAACACTGACAGTTTCTTTAAAAACTTAAACATACACCTGCCATATGATCTAATCAGTCCTTTCCTAGGTATTTACCCAAGACAAATGAAAGCATATGTCCATACAAGGCTTGTATATGAACACTCACAGAAGCTTTACTTATAATAGCCCTAAGCTGAAAACAACCCAAATGTCCATCAACAGGGGAATGGATAAACATCTGTGGTATATCCATACAATGAAATACTACTCTGGAATAAAAAGGAATAAGCCATTGATACACACAACAACACGGATGAATCCCAAAATAATTAGTTGATTGAAAGAAAGACAGACAAAAATGTGTAACTATGTGATTTACATAAAATTCTAGCAAATGCAAACTGTTATACAGTGACAGAATCAGTGGTGGCTTGAGGGCGGAGGTAGGGGAGGTCCTGGAGGAAGGGAGTGCAAAGGGAATCCTTATAAGAGTTAACTTTTGGGAGTGATGGCTATGTTCATTATCTTGATTATAGTGATGGTTTCATGGGTTTTTAATATGTAAGAACATATCAAATTGAACATTTTAACATGTGCATTTTATGGTATGTCGATTACACCTCAATAAAGTTGTTAAAAGTAAGGAAAACCCCCCACACTTTCAAAGATTTAATGGTATCCTTACTATAAATTGGATAAAAGCACTGACACCCTCATGATCACCTTTTTTCATTAGGTTAATAAAGGACATTGATAACTTTTTACAAGTTCCAGTCTTGATTTCCTTGATTACAAATTGATAACGAAAATTCCCAGCTTGCAGGACTGTTCTGATTACCAACGTCTATTTTACTCACCATTGCACTCCCAGTGCCTAGCATAAAATAAACACTTCATAAATATCTGTTAAATGAATAAAAGCATGTGCAATATTAGAGCACTACTTGACCCTTGGTTGGAATTCAATATATGGTAACCAATAGTCGAATACAAGAGGAGGAGTAGGAGAAGGAGGGAACTCTCCTTACTCACCCTCTGGAATGAAGGGGGCCCGAATACATAAAACATATGGAATGGGGGCTTCCCTGGTGGCGCAGTGGTTGAGAGTCTGCCTGCCGATGCAGGGGACACGGGTTCGTGCCCCGGTCCGGGAGGATCCCACGTGCCGTGGAGCGGCTGGGCCCGTGAGCCATGGCCGCTGAGCCTGCGTGTCCGGAGCCTGTGCTCCGCAACGGGAGAGGCCACAACAGTGAGAGGCCCGCGTACCGCAAAAAAAACCCAAACAAACAAACAAACAAAAAACACGTGGAATGTTTTAATATTGCTTTGAAAATGTCTATAAAAATTCAGTGATTCCATTTTTTTTAGCAGGAGGTCTTGGGTTGTATCTATGAAACACACAGCTTCAAAGTGAATTTTGCCCAAGCTGGGTATGAGTTATATAATATGTTTTTCTTAGATGTCCTATTATTTAACTGAACACTGAACAATTTATAAGTGTAAATCCTTTTGATAAGGCAAATGTTTGAAAACTACTTCAGTTGCTAGTGATTCTCGTACATTTTCATTATGCATTGCTCTCCAGGCGGGATATTAATCCACAACTTTATTCGAACAGTTTTGACAGCTCACATGCATACCCTTCAATTACTTCAACAAACGTGTATAGGTTGAGATATATTAAAAAGTCAAGGGGCTTCCCTGGTGGCGCGGTGGTTAAGAATCCACCTGCCAATGCAGGAGACAAGGGTTTGAGCCCTGGTCCGGGAAGATTCCCACATGCCGCGGAGCAGCTACGCCCGTGTGCCACAACTACTGAGCCTGCGCTTTAGAGCCCGCGAGCCGCAACTACTGAAGCCTGTGCTCTTAGAGCCTGTGCTCCGCAACAAGAGAAGCCATGCCAATGAGAAGCCCACGCACTGCAACGAAGAGTAGCCCCTGCTCGTTGCAACTAGAGAAAGCCCGCGTGCAGCAACGAAGACCCAACGCAGCCAAAAAAAAAAAAAAAGGTCAATTGTTCTTTCTTTCCTCAGTTTTCTCATGGTGTTGTATAAATATTAATTTTTCTATTCTATTCTGATTGAGAATGGTAATTTGTTTTTGAGCACTTCATAACTTAGTTTGCTAGACTTGAGATGCATTCCATTCTGTAGAATTATTCTTTTTTTTTTTTTGCGGTACGCGGGCCTCTCACTGTTGTGGCCTCTCCCGCCGCGGAGCACAGGCTCCGGACGCGCAGGCCCAGCGGCCATGGCCCACGGGCCCAGCCGCTCCGCGGCACGTGGGATCCTCCCGGGCCGGGGCACGAACCCATGTCCCCTGCATCGGCAGGCGGACTCTCAACCACTGCGCCACCAGGGAAGCCCTAGAATTATTCTTGGCCACATACATATTCATTAAGTGAGCTTTGTTAAATTTTTTAGTGTAATGAATTTTCAAAAATATATGAATTTTCAAAAATATATTTCAATAACTGTGAAACTGAATTGAATTGAGTTCTGTCAAGTCTTTTGTTGTGTATAGGCAGTTTTAGTGTGCTGGCTATAGCGATTACAGCCTTTGTAAAGTTCCATATTGGAGGGTTTGCTTTTCTGTATTTTTTTTTTTTTTTTAATTAGACTACCCTAGCAAGTATTCACCTTAGACGTAAGGAACTACTAACACCTGAACTTCATTAGATGCCTTTTTAATAAGAAAAAGCAGTTACCTTGTGCTTTGTAAAGAAGACTGTCTTCACTCAGGCTTAACCTGGTTGGGCAGTGGTCTAAAGTTGTTTCACCTTTAGACAGCCTTATCTTTTGAGAGAACATACAAGAAAGATTATTTCCATATATCCTTAAATTATCCATGGCTGGTTTATTCTTGCTTTTCCCTTCTGCCCCCAGATCTCTATGTCCCTACTTCCCTCTCCTTCATTCTCCCTCAGATTCTGGCTGCTTTTCCCCAATGGCAGGCACCTAAACCACAGTTTCTAAAACCAGGCTACTGAGGGGAGCTTGTCTGGGGGCTCATTTCCAAATCCCAAAGTCTCATGTGCTGTTAAACTTCTGAAAATGTTTTGTTTTCTATTCCATAAAATCTCATTGTTGGTTTTCATATAAAATAATGGCCTATTCCCCTGTTCCCTAAATCTTTTAGTCAAACAAAGCTCCAAACAGTTGTGCAGGGACCTTGCATTCCCCTGGAACTGTCAAGTCCCTTCAGGGACACACATGCCCCTAAGTTCCAGGATGGCCCTGAGTCTGCTCCAGGATGGGAAACTGTCACACTTTACATTCCCCTCTCATGTCTCCCTCCTCACTTTTCTCCAAAAGGATGTTTGTCCACATGCTATACAATTATTCTCAGGTGAATTTTTGTTTGCTTGTTTCTTTTAAAAGTATCTGCAGCTCAGTAAATCCTACCCTAGAAAATTTCTAATCCTCTCTATTGAATTTCTAATCCTAGTTACTTCAGGAGTATTCTCACCCCTCTGTGCTCTCTCTTTCACTGGGAGCAAATACATGATAATGTAATTCTAGTGATACTTGTAAATCAGAGGAAAAGAAAAATATTAAGTTTGGAATTAGAATTAAACATTCCAAAGAAAAAGAGCCATCAATGTCAGAAGTTCATTCATACTTTTCACATACTTCCCATCCACAGCCTTATCTTTCTTAAATTAAAACTACTTTTTTTCAAGCTCTGCCACTGAAGATAACTACAAATAATTTCTCTTTCAATTACTTTCAGTTTTATTTGGTCATAGGTATTACAGTACAATTCTACTATTGATATGCAAAATATGTAGAATTTTGGCTACAGGAGGGGTAAAATTAGCTTTCCCAGGCTAACCTAAGAGCCTACCAATTTTTAAGCAACTGCTCTGCAAATGAATAATTATTACACAAACCACTGGTAAGTTGGGGCTTGCTTATACATGAACAAATATCAATCCTGAGTTCACAATAACTGTGATTTCTGCCTTGACCTAGGCAGACCTTATAATAACTCTCACTGAAGAACTGACTGGTTGAATGAATACATGTATTGTAATGTCCTGTGCTAATCTGAGCTGCTCTACTTTTATAGTGTGTGTACATGTATGTATGTCTATGCATATAAACCATATAGTGTATATAAGCAAATAAAATGGACTAAATCCCACGTTACTTACCTTAGAAAGAGGTTTCCAGGAGAGATTTAGATGCAAAAAAGTGGATGGTACATCAAAAGGAACTTCAATACTTTCTTCTTTGTTTTTCTTTGTTGGTGGTTGAGGGGTTAAGGCTTTCTGAGGTCTGATATCCCAAAAACATATTGTACTTTAAAAAAAGTTTACAGTTTATTTTTTAACTAAGTATAAAGAAGAGGTGTAACCTCAGGACTACCATTATTGCTGCTACACATTACCAATGTGATCATGGCTAGATCTGATATCTCTGAATTTAAGATTTTTATGAAATAGGACTGTTTTGCATTGAATATTTTGGGGAATTATACCATTTATAGGATTATTTAATGACTTTGCTAGTATTGAGACTAATATTATCATATATGAGAGCTGAGTTTGGAGATTGACACAATCTTTTTTTAAAACATAACAGTTTTATTGAAATATAACCCACATATCACAAAATTCACCCATTTAAAGTACTCAATTCAGTGGTTTTTAATACATTCATTGAGTTGTGCAAGGCATTACCACAATCGATTTTAGATTTTCATCACCTCCCAGAAAAAAACGTGTACATATTACCAGTAAGTCCCCATTTCCCTCAATCCCTCCGACTAGCCCTGGGCAACCAGTAACCTACTTCCTGTCTCTACAGATTTGTCTATTCTGGACATTTCATATAAATGGAATCATATAGTATGCGTTCTTTTGTGACTGGCTTCTTTCATTTAGCATGTTTTCAAAGGTCATTCATGATGTAGTATATATCAGTACATCATTCCTTTTTATTGTCAAATAATATTCCATTGTATGGACTGTACTACACTTTATTTACCCATTCCTCATTTGATGGACTGATGAATGAATAAATTTGGGTTATTTCTCCTTTTTGCTGTTATGAATAATGCTGTTATGAACATTTGTTGGTAAGTTTGTGTGGATATAGGTTTTCATTTCTCTTGGATATATATTTAGGAGTGGAATTGCTGGGTTATATGGTAACACCTATATTTAATCTTTTGAGGAACTGCTAGATTGTTTTCCAAAGCAACTGGATCATTTTTGAGGATTCCAATTTCTCTACACCCTCACCAAATGTATTATTTTTTTTTTGTCTTGAGGATTCCAATTTCTCTACATTCTCACCAACATTTACTATTTTTTGTCTTTTTTAAACTTTAGCTATCCTAGTGGGTGTGAAGTTGTATCTCATCAAAAGTGATTCTGATTTGCATTTCCTTGTGCTTTTGGGGTAATATCTAGGAAATCAGTACCTAATCCAAGGTCATAAACATTTACATTTATGTTTGCCTATGTTTTCTTCTAAGAGTTTTACAGTTTTAGCTCTTATATTTAGGTCTTTATTTCACTTTCAATTAATTTTTGTATAGAGTGTGAGGTAATTATTTTGCAGGTGAATACCCATTTGTCCTAGCACCATTCCTTGAAAAGACTATTCTTTCTCCATTAAATTGTCTTGGTACCCTTGTTGAAAATCAGTTGACCACAGATATATGGGTTTATTTCTGGACTCTCAGTTCTATTCCATTGATCTATATGTCTATCCTTAAGCCATTCTCAGTACATGTGTCTCTACAACGGTAGCTGTGCAGAAAGTTTGGAGATTAAGAAGTGTGAGTCTTCCAACTTTGTTCTTTTCTGTCAAGACTGTTTTGGCTATTTTGTGTCATTGTGGTTTTGATTTGACAGCTAATGGTTTTGAGCATCTTTTCTTGTGCTTATTGGACATTTGTCTATCTTTTTTGAAGAAATGTCTATTGATAATCTTTGCTCATTTTTAAATTAGATTATTTGTCTTTTTATTGTTGAGTTGTAAGAGTTCTTTATATACTCTTAATAGAAATCTCTTATCAGATATATGATTTGCAAATATTTTCTCCCATTGTATGGGTTGTCTTTTAAATTTCTTGATAGTGCTTCAAAAGCACTATCAACTTGAATTTTGATGAAGTTCAATTTATCTTTTTTTATTTTATTGCTTGTTTTAGTGTCATACAAGAGTCTATATACGTTTTATATGTGTGTATATATATATATATATATATATATATATATATATATATATATATATAAAACACATACACAGAGTTGGATTTAATGTGCTTTGTACATAGTAGGCATACAGTAACTGTCATTTCTCCTCTTATTTCTCCTTCCTCACAGGTTGATTATGAAAATCAAATGTGGGCTTCCCTGGTGGCACAGTGATTGAGAGTCCGCCTGCCGATGCAGGGGACGTGGGTTCACGCCCCAGTCCGGGAGGATCCCACATGCCGCAGGGTGGCTGGGCTCGTGAGCCATGGTCGCTAAGCCTGCACGTCCGGAGCCTGTGCTCCACAACGGGAGAGGCCACAACAGTGAGGGGCCGCGTCATGTGGGATCTTCCAGGACCGGGCCACGAACCCGCGTCCCCTGCATCGGCAGGCGGACTCTCAACCACTGCGCCACCAGGGAAGCCCTAGAGTGTTATTTTGAACACAATAAACTTGGTAAAAATTTATAATGATACTTGTTCAGTACTTCAGTATACAATGTCTTTGTAGTAATTGTGTGAAAACATAATAAGAACAGCAAAGAATATGCCACATTAGCTCCATAATTTCTATCAGTTAGGTTATGAGTAAACAGATTAATAAATTTAAGATATTATTAAAGAATTTAGATGTGTAAGTTAAAGTATTTAGATAAACAGATGGTAACTTGAGACTAACAAAACTTTTATTCATTTATGTGAATTAGTTAATATTATTTATTCATTTAATAATGGATAAATAATTAAAATTAATAAAAATATTAATCATATTAATGGTCAAAACATAAATCATTGGTAGAATACCACAGATGACATAATAAAATATGTTTTCAAATATAATTATAACACTTGTAATAAATATGCAATAAAAAATGTAAAACTCTTCCACTTTTTAAAAGAAACTTTCCCAATTAAACGTTGTCATCTTCGTAATTGTGAGATAAAATTGAATGTAAACAACACATATTACAAATTTACAAATATGTGAATATGAAGAAACAGAATAACTATGGATAATATTATGCAACATTACCAACCATGAAACCTAGTTAATTCTTCTTTTTACAACATATTCGTATCCACAAAAAGATTTTTTAAAAACCAGCAACAATCTAACATTCTGTCCTTTAGTTATATTAGGTTTAATTGTTACAACAAAGATTATTTAAGGAACAGAAGAGGGCAATGATTTTATAAGCATCTAAAAAGAATATATTGTTTGCAAACATATTAGGTAATGATTAAAATAAGACATACCAGTCTGCCGAACAAGTGACAAGTTGACAGGATATTCCACTTCGATTTTCAAAGACAGATCCCAATCTGTTAATCTATTTTTTTAAATGCTGGAAGTAAGTTCTGTGTACCTAGGACAGTAATGACTTTTTTCTCAAAGCTTTTTACGCTAAAATTTTTTTTCTCCTTTGCTTTAATTTTTATTAAAAGAACCACACAAACAGAATTTGGAAACTGGAAAGTTTCAAAATCAAATATAATTCTATACATATTTTCCAGCTTTTTTTCACAGAAACATTTTTACATTTTAAAATTAGTTTTAGTTAGTATGCATATAAATTTCCATCTTAAGATCTTTCAGTTAATATAATTTTTTTTTTTTTTTAATTTATTTATTTATTTTTTTGGTACACGGGCCTCTCACTGCTGTGGCCTCTCCCGTTGCGGAGCACAGGCTCCGGACGCGCAGGCTCAGCGGCCACGGCTCACGGGCCCAGCCGCTCCGCGGCATGTGGGATCTTCCCGGACCGGGGTACGAACCCGTGTCCCCTGCATCGGCAAGCGGACTCTCAACCACTGCGCCACCAGGGAAGCCCATCAGTTAATATAATTTGAACATTTACCTATGTAGTCACAAATCATTCTGTTTTTTAATATATAGATGATGCATCATAATTTCATTACTATTATTATTAGAAATGTAGGCACTCTGTTTTTCACTATTAATTGTGGAGCTGAACATGGGAGCTTTTATGAGATTGTTAAGCAGGTAAGATCAACAGAAAAGAGACTTGTGTTAAATTAGATACCTACAGCATGCAGTGAATGCTGGGGTGCCTGCATTCTTTTAGTAATTAGTGGCACCGCTCTGCTAGCACACAAAGGAGTCCAAGGAGGGTTAGTGGCCCCTTAGAGTCCTAGAAGGTCCAAGATTCCAAGCAGCTAGCTCTCAAAGGAGGTGGAAGGATTTTTGGCAACCTGTGAAGGTGCTACTCTCAAATCAATAGGGAAACATGACTTTCCCCAACACCCTACCTACTTGGTAGGACTGATGAGCAAAAGGTCAAACAAAGGTGGGGGTTCCAGCAGCAGATAAACAGTAAAAGTAGGGGTGGGAGGAAGAATACAGGTGCAACAGTGGTAAGGCCTGTTGGCAAGGCCTGTTGGCATCAAAGGAGCTAGGATCCTAGAAACCTGGCTGACACTGCTGTGGCCTGAGCCCAGTCAGGATCACTTAACAGCTGCCAGCTTCCACTGTGATTGATAAACAATCCAGAACCCATCTTTCCTCTCCCTCTAATAAGGCTTCCCTGTTGTAGGAAGTTCAAGACTCCAGAGTTGCGCTTGCTCTGGAGTTTTATGTTTTAATGATTAAAAAAAACCCCACAGGGCTTCCCTGGTGGCGCAGTGCTTGAGAGTCCGCCTGCCGTTGCAGGAGACGCGGGTTCGTGCCCCGTTTCGGGAGGATCCCACATGCCGCGGAGCGGCTGGGCCCGTGAGCCGTGGCCGCTGAGCCTGCGCGTCCGGAGCCTGTGCTCCGCAAATGGGAGAGGCCACAACAGTGAGAGGCCCGCATAACGCAAGAAAAAAAAAAAAAAAAAAAAAAAAACCCACAATCATATTACAGAGTTTGGAAAATAGAAGGTTTTAAAATCAAATATAATTCTACCTTACATTCTTTTCCAATCTTTTTCATGGATACACTTTGACATGATTTGTCAAGGTATGCATGCGATTGTATGTCTTAGGACACAAATTGGATTATTTCTTTGCATAAATTTCCCAAATTTGAATTACTGGTCAAAAACTTTGAAAATTTGGATGATTTAAGAACCACATTGACTAAATTGTATTCTAAAGCTTTTATGTTGGAACCAGTAATGTTGGAGTTTATTGATTTCACCATTTCATCCTTTCTAATATGGGAAATTACTAGAAACTTTCATTTAAAAATTAAATAGGTCCATTGGAAAAGAAAAAAATCAAATAGGTCCAAAATAGTACATTATTGTTTCTTTATTATTAATTTCTTTGATATTAGAAAGTCTGAATAATTTTCCTGTTTATCTACTAATTGTTTTTCAGTATATGTCTTTAGCTTATTTACTGGAAATTTTGTATTCACCATATTTGAGGCAAATAGTTTTCTTCATTTTGCTACTTGCTCTTTATTTTGTAATTTAAAACTTTACATGTATATGTTTTGAATTTCTTTCAATATTAATTAGCTTAGAAAACTACAGAATCCAGAAATATGATATTCTATTTTGATTTGTTGTATTTATTTTGGTCCATTATAACTTTGAAAAGTAATTGTGCTTTTGCATAATCCATTTGAATATCTTGAAGGGCTAATCACCCTTCATAACTCTAAGTTTTCAGAATATTCTTTGATATTCTGACCTTTTAATTTCCATAGACTATTAGTTCCTTGAGGGAAACATTTGGGAAGCTTACTAGTTTTCAAATTCACAAACAACAGCTGTTGTGGGTCAAGTAAAGAACCACAAAGCCACAGTGCTGCGCAGATGCTAGGCCGTCAGCTGGGCTCACTCACTGCACAAATAGTTTTCACCTACCAGTCTCATGACACACTCAATTCAAGACTGCCTTGCAAAATGACGCATTACTACATGTCGCAGATCTTCAAGGTTATATGCTCTAAATAGTTGAAATCATAAACTTTAAATCTGCAAAGGCTAAGGGTGTAAAATATTTGCACTCTATTTTTACAACCTTCACTTTCTCCACTGTTGTATTATATCAGTGTTAACACCACCTACATTTTTTATTTTTATAAACCACTGAAGTTGACACATTGGCATTATTCTCATCCCTAAGTCTGATCTTGGTCTGTCAACGGTGACACAATTGTGTGATGTGTTGTTTCTGGTTATTTTACAATTAAAATGCAAATTAATTGTTGACTTCAAACATCCTCTTTGAATAAAATTTTCTAAAAATTACAAGCCAGCAGGAGAAAAGTATGAAGCCATCAAGACTCACCTCAAATGTGTCAGGCAGCCAATGTATATCTGTAATAACTTTCCTATGTCCATTTTCTATTGAGGAGACTGCACAGTGTCTGATATACATTGCTTCTTTATTAGTCTCTGGTTCAAGGAGAAACATAGGCTGTAAAATGTTACAAGAAAGTTATGTGCTAATTTCAGAGAGCTGATGAAGCAACTCATACTTTACTTATCATTCCAATTAAAATCAATAATTTGGAGAAATACCAGTTCAAGGAAAAACACAAATTAGTGTTTCTATGTATTATATAGTTAGATAATAAGATTATCTTCTTTCTACTTCAGTTTAGTCTAAGATTTTACCTCTAAACTTTTAACAAGAATGACTGACCCATTCCCTAAAGAACCAGTGAGATCCCATTTTTGAAGGAGTATTTCTGTGAGTGCACAGAAAACCACATCCCATGGTTTCTTGGTCAGAGACCTGTGATGCTCAGGTTGAAGGACTGGGGGTGAGGATGTGCAAATGGTGGGTGAGTACTGAGTTGGGAGCTGAGGAATCTCTAGACCTCTTGGCAGGATCCACAGCTTCACAAATCATAGTGTCTTATTACCTGGAAGGCTTTTAACCCCTTCATTTTATACACGAGAAAATTGATGCTTGCTGAGGGGATGGGGGACATATCCAAACTCACAGGATGGTGATCTAAAGCCTGGATGCATGGGTCTTCTATCCAGTGCTCTTTCAACTATATCACTTTAGGCAATCCCTTGGCCCCTTCATCTTATTTAACAACAATAACAACAAAAAAGAACCCCTGGGATAGACAGTACAACCTGTTTAGTGGTGTTTTTAATCAAGAGCCTACATAAAAGTGATTCAAAACACATCCACAGCAGATGTGAAGACTTAGGAAATAACACTTTTTTTTTTCTAGTGAGTCTCTGTTTAGCTTGGCAACACTGTTGTGTACTTTTTGATAAACTCATGAACGGAAAAAATTTGCAAGTGAAAAATTATAAAAAGCTAACCTTGAGTGTGACGTTTTTACTTCTACTACCACCTGCCTTGATGTTTTCTATTCGATCTGCATGTGCGGTAATATCCCACATGACAATCTAAAACAGAAATAAATGTTATTACAACATACTTTCAGGAACTAGCAAATTGCATCTTGAACGTTTAAAAAAACCTATTGGTATTGCATGCACTCTGATAAATAAACCACCTTGGGAGGATAATCAAATTTAGCCTACATCTTAAGTAAGTCAGCAACTCTTATTTTTTATATTTATTTATTTATTTTAACATCTTTATTGGAGTATAATTGCTTTACAATGGTGTGTTAGTTTCTGCTTTATAACAAAGTGAATCAGTTATACATATACATATGTTCCCATATCTCTTCCTTCTTGCCTCTCCCTCCCTCCCACCCTCCCTATCCCACCCCTCTAGGTGGTCACAAAGCACCAAGCTGATCTCCCTGTGAGTCAGCAACTTTTAAAGCTTATATAAAAAATGTTTTCTTCTCTTTATTTATTTATGTTTTTGGCTTTATATATTTTTATTTAGTTTGAGCTACACATACATTTATTAATTTTGTTACTCTTAATTTGTTCCTACTTCTCCATCCTGTTATTCAGGATATTCCCCTTTTTCTTAATAATGTTTTCTTCTCTTTAAAAGAATTTTCAGCACTTTGATTTTTTGTGCTTGTGTTAATAAATGCTAGTGGGTTTTTTTTTTTTTTTTTTAAATTCAAGGTAGGCATAATGCAATTCTCTCTGCTTTGGGAAGAGTTCTTCCTCTGTTTTAGGGAATGTGGGGACAGTTGTTTTAGACACAGGAGAAAGCAGTCTGTTCTCCAGAATCAAGTACAAACAGCCAAAATTGTTCAAAAGGCTAGGAAATGATGATTTCTATTTAATTGAATATTATGGCCAACTCTGAATTTGCATATACACAGATGGTCATTTTTTGAAAAATCAGAACAAAGCAGAATATGCAACACTAAGTTAGAATAATTTTCAATGACTAAAAGCCATTTCAGTACACTAAAATGTAAACAAAATGTCAGGATCACAGAATTGTGAGTAATTTTATTTTCAGCATTTGCTTTTCTAAAATATTCTAAAACAAAGTTGTGTCACCTTCTCAATGAGTAAAAACGGCAATATTTGCACGGCTTGGAGGATGTACTCTGGCTCCTCACTAGATCACCAGTTATTGTTGAATGAAACCGAGGAAAAAAATTAGTTTTCTTAGATGTTTTTGGTTCTGGATAAGTTGGCACGGATGATGCAAACATTTACATTTCAACTACCTAAAAGTTTTCCTAGCCACACGATAAAAAATCATTATACCCTGGTAATGGTCAAACTCACTGTGTCACAATGAATTTAAACTTTGATAATAAAATAGCTATAAGATTTTTGTTTTGCTCTGTTGGAGAAACAGGCAATTGGAAGATAGAATCTAAATTTTATATAAATTAGATAACTTAAAAGAGAAAAAAGCAAATAGGATAACAAATTATACACACATAAATTCAGTGATATAAGCATGTTTTCCAGAGAATTCTGTTTAAATTCTGGATCATTCCCTAACTCCTACCTCTAGGGAAATTTCAGAAGAGGGCTCTTGACCAAGAGGTATTATGCTTATGGTTATTGTTCTTCCCGGGAATCTTGTACAACGTGTGGTTCTATCCCAGCAACACAAATAGATCTGACCTGGTTTTCTTCCAGTTATCATAACTGGGTTACCCTGTGGACATCTTGAGCCCAGATACCATGTCTAACACATCTTCATACCCCAGTTCCTGGCATGGTGACTGGCATACAATCGACATGCCTTCCCTCTGCTGAGTTGAACCCTTAAGTTAAAAAAACTACCAGTCAAAATGTGTTACAGAATGCTGTCTAAATTAATAAAGAACTGAAAAAAAAAAGCCATATATACCTGCCCATTTATGCACCCTCCAGCAATGATATTAGGGTCACTTGGACAGAACTGGAAGCAGAAGATGTCATCTGGGCTTTCCAGCATTAACTAAGGTAAACCCCCCAAATTCAAGAGAGAATGAGAAAATCTATTAAGATCATGGCTAGAAATAATATTAATAAAGTCAAAAGTCTAATTTTATAGCTGTTTATAAGAAACATGCACATGAATTCCATTCCCAGAATTCTACCTCTGGATTGGAAGCTGCTTTTGCTGAATTTTATTCTGGACATTGATCATGCATATGAGAGCAGGTAGTTTCTCAAGGGGACCCAATCTCCCCTCCCCTCCCCTTTGTGGGTCATTGCTGGGGCATGTTATAATTTTTTATAAATAAAAAGACTATGAAATCAGTGTTTCTGAAAAGTGTGGAGAGCAAGCTCTGGGGGCCAGGATATTTGTATGATTTTTTTCTCTGCTGCATATACCTAGTCTGCCACAGAGGTGAGCACTCAAAAATAAAATGCGTTGAAAAAGAGAAGACGGCGGCTTTGCCAGCGGTAATATTACAAATTTTAAAATAATACAGAACCCATAAGGTAAACAAAACCAAGTGCCTGGAGGGCAGGGAGGGAGTCCTGCAAGGAATACACCAGTGTGAGGAAATAGATATACTAACCATAGTTAGCACCTGAGCTACTGTGTCACCACCAAGCTAAACACTTGCATGGTTGCCGTTCTTTAAACATAACAGCCAAAAATACAGGCCCCAGAGGCCATTGGTTTGCCACCACTGAGCTAAAGATTTCAAATTGGAATTGAGGTGAATTATCTTGGTTTATTTGGTACTTTGTGGATTCTAGAGAAACCTCTACTTTTGAAAATGAAATCTTTTAATACTTTCCTATAGTTTTGATTAGAACAAAGAAAAAATTAATCATTTGTATCATATCTTTAAGAAATTATTTATGTGTCTTTTTAAAGCTATTCTTCAAAATAGAGGAAAGGTTAAAAAAATTTTTTAATAAAAATAAATAAATAGAATATAATTAAGTTTATAAGTATATTTAACAAAACTATAAATTTTATATGGAATTTCTATCTTAATAAACTGATTACTGACTTCCTTAAGAAACTAAAATAAATAAATCACATTTCTATTAAAAAAAAATAGAGGAAAGGAGAGTCTTTCTTTCCTCTTCCTATTTGCCTGGAGGTTCAGCCACACTTCCATGGCATGGAGTGAAGAGTAGTTCTACACTGCTGGAAAATGATAGAAAACACCAGTGAGAGAATGGCACCATACTTGTGGTAAGCAGGCTGACAAGGAAGAATGACAGATCTGTCATTTTGATCTCTGTATCTATAAAAAAGCATCTAGACTCTATAACAGTAAAACTGCCTTAATTCAGATGAATTAGGGAAGAAGGAATAAGGGGACACTAGGGTTTATTAGGGAAAGCCTTAATTATATAATGCTTTATAAAAACAAAATATTATTATATTTAAGAACACTGAAAAAACTTAATCTAACAATATAAAGCACCCTCCCCCTAAGCAGAACTCATCTTGAGCAGATATTGGAAATTGAACACTGTGGGGGCAAACCCAGCCTTTAGCCTTATTTTATTTGGACTGCTGTGTGTTTTGGTTTGGTTTTAGTTGAGCTGTTTAAAAATTGGGAGATCACACACAAAATTGCTGGATTCTCTTGACAAGTAGGACCACCTGGCAAAGAGAGCAGAAGAGTAGCTGTCCCCATGGATGGGCTGGGTACCCTCTAGGGCCACAGTCCCCACCATTCCCCACTGTCTCCTGCACAGTCATCTTTACTCATTACCATCTCCTACTGGTGATCCTTGGAATCAAGGAAATCCATGTGAAACTAAAATCTCTTTGCATTTGAACAATGAGTACCTAAATAAAGTCCATAAAAGAGTTTGCTCTTTAAAATCAATTGAACATTCCTCTTACAATGTTTTTCTTTTTTAAATAACATGTTGATTTGTTCAATATATCTTTTCAATAAACTAAGTGTAAATTTAAATTTTGCTCAAATTGAATGATGACAAATTCTGAATTGAAGAAAGCCTAGCTTTATTGGGGTTTACAACATTAAGTGATTATAAAGTATTTTGCAATTAAAACTGCTAAAGATATGTGAAAGTAGTAGTTAAAATTTTTAGAACATGTGGATGACTCTCCTTCATTACCTGAGGCTGTATGGGATCGGAGAAACTCCAGAAAAGAATCAGTGATGGTTGCAGCAATAGTTTACCAGAAAAGTGGACCCTCTCTTCAAAGGAGAGTCGTACAGCCACCGACACAGCTATTAGCCCTGATAGAAACACAACTAGAAATTAAAATCTGCAGCAACTGTGCATGGAGAAGTGTTTTTAGTTTTTGTTTTCCTACACAGTCACTGTTCATTTCCATTTTGATGAAACTTGTGTAAAAATATTCTACAGGAGACCAAGAGTGTTTTTAGAGCTCTGCTGTCTAATACGTTGGTTGCCAGTAGCCATGTGTTGCTTATTTAGCACTTGAACTGTGGCTGGACCAAATTGAGATGTTCACAAAATAAACTGAACTTTGAAGACTTAGTAAGAAAAAAAGATGTGTTGTGTTTCTTTTTTTTTTTTTGTGAGGAGAGGGCCAATGTTGGGCAGGAAAGGAGGAAGAAAGAGGGCACAGATGGCTCTGTCCGTGGATCAAGCCTCACACATTCCTATCTCCTTGGCTGCTGAGCTCTTTAAAGGAGGTGTATCTCCTATCCCGCCCAGTAAGTTGAGAGTCAGGGGGAATGAAGCTCCAGATTTGGCATTGCACCAGCTGGGTGACCTGAGCCAGTCACTTTCCTGAGAGCTCTGGTCCTCTCCTTATAAAGCAGAGACCACAATGTGGTCCCACAAGGTAGCTGGGAGGACACATGATGGAGAGAAGGTGCAGAAGGTGCTTGGCAGGTGCCTGCACTCAGGTATGGAAGCTGTCTCATGGAAAGTGAGCTAGTTTGCAATTCTACATATAAAAGCAACAGATTATTTCAATGTCATCCCAGAATGGAATCCCAGTCATGATTCTGCCTCACCATAGATGATCGGATGCCAGGAGACACAGGTGATCATCTTCCCTGTTAGGTTATGCAGGTCAGTAAAGGACTGGTACTCTTTCAGGTGGGTATCAGTCTTGTCCCCAAAGGTGCCTTCTTCTTCTGCCAGGCTTTTCCAGTCATTAATAAATGTATTCATGATTTCATTTTGCTGCAGGGCTATTTCAACACTATTTTGTAAAAGAAAAAAAAAGGAATCAAGATGTTGGATTTTAGTATTCAGTGATATGTCTTTCATCAGCTCCTCCTGCTTCATTTATACTGAAAGAAAAAGTATTCTCAATTGTATTTGGTAACTAATGATTAATCCTGTGTGAAATAAATGACTTAAGAGAAAAAAAATTCAAGATAGTATGCTACTCAGAACTTCTTCTAGTGCCAGGAAGCTGTTAGCTGACAGCCTCTAGCATCATCACAACTTGCCTCAGTTTCCCAGCCAAGGTCATGCTCTCTCCCAGTCAATGACTGACCATGGTGGGGGGACCTGCAAGATGGTGGAGGAGTAAGTCGTGGAGATCACCTTCCTTGCCATAAATACATCAAAAACACATCTAAATGTGGAACAACTCCTACAGAACACCTACTGAATGCCAGCAGAAGACCTCAGACTTCCCAAAAGACTAGAAGCTCCCCACGACGTATATGGCCGTGTGGCCAACAGCATCTTGGTGCTCCGGCTGGGTGTCAGGCCTGAGCCTCTCAGGTGGGAGAGCCAAGTTCAGGACATTGGTGCACCACAGACCTCCCAGCCCCACATAATATCAATTGGCAAGAGCTCTCCCAGAGATCTCCGTCTCAACATTAAGACCCAGCTCCACTCAACGACCAGCAAGCTACAGTGCCGGACACCCCAAGTCAAACAACTAGCAAGACAGAATTATCAGAGAGGCTGCCTAGAATCATATTAAGTTCACAGACACCCCAAAACACACCACCAGACGTGGTTCTGCCCACCAGAAAGACAAGATCCAGCCTCATCCAGCAGAACACAGGCACCAGTCCCCTCCACTAGGAAGCCTACACAACCCACTGAAGCAACCTTACCCACTGGTGGCGGACACCAAAAACAATGGGAACTACGAACAAGCAGCCTGTTAAAAGGAAACCCCAAACAAAATGAGAAGACAGAGAAATATGCAGCAGATGAAGGGGCAAGGTAAAAACTCACCAGACCAAACAAATGAAGAGGAAATGGGCAGTCTACCTGAAAAAGAATTCAGAGCAATGATAGTAAAGATGATCCAAAACCTTGGAAATCAGGGCCTTCCCTGGTGGCGCAGCGGTTGAGAGTCCGCCTGCTGATGCAGGGGACACGGGTTTGTGCCGCAGTCCAGAAGGATCCCACATGCCGCAGAGTGGCTGGGCCTGTGAGCCATGGCCACTGAGCCTGCACGTCCAGAGCCTGTGTTCCACAATGGGAGAGGCCACAACAGTTAGAGGCCCGCATACCACAAAACAAACAAACAAACAAACAAAAAAAGCCTTGGAAATCGAACGGAGAAAATACAAGAAACGTTTAACAAGGACCTAGAAGAACTAAAGAGCAAACAAACAATGATGAACAACACAGTGAATGAAATTAAAAATTCTCTAGAAGGAATCAATAGCAGAATAATTGACACAGAAGAACGGATACGTGACCTGGAAGATAAAACAGTGGAAATAACTACTGCACAGCAGAATAAAGAAAAAAGAATGAAAAGAATTGAGGACACTCTCAGAGACCTCTGGAACAACATTAAATGCACCAACATTCGAATTATAGGAGTCTCAGAAGAAGAAGAAAAAAAGAAAGGGACTGAGAAAATATTTGAAGGAAATAGTCAATCAAGTCCAGGAAGCACAGAGAGTCCCATACAGGATAAATCCAAGGAGAAACATGCCAAGACACATATTAATCAAGCTATCAAAAATTAAATACAAAGAAAAAATATTAAAAGCAGCAAGGGAAAAGCAAAAAATAACATACAAGGGAATCCCCATAAGAAGGGTGTGGCAGGACATATAGAAAGTGATGAAAGGGAAAAATCTACCACCAAGATTACTCTACCCAGCAAGAATCTCATTCAGATTCAACTGAGAAATTAAAACCTTTACAGACAAGCAAAAGCTAAGAGAATTCAGCACCACCAAACCAGCTTTACAATAAATGCTAAAGGATTTTCTCTAGGCAGGAAACACAAGAGAAGGGAAAGATATACAATAACAAACCCAAAACAATTAAGAAAATGGTAATAGGAACATACATATGGATAATTACCTTAAATGTAAATGGATTAAATGCTCCAACCAAAAGATACAGACTGGCTGAATGGATACAAAAACAAGACCCATATATATGCTGTCTGCAAGAGACACAGTTCAGTCCTAGGGACACATGCAGACTGAAAGTGTGGGGATGGAAAAAGATATTCCATGCACATGTAAATCAAAAGAAAGCTGGAGTAGCATTCTCATATCAGACAAAATAGACTTTAGAATAAAGACTTTTACAAGAGACAAAGAAGGACAGTACATAATGATCAAGGAATCAGTCCAAGAAGAAGGTATAACAATGGTAAATATTTATGCACCCATCAGAGGAGCACCTCAATACATAAGGCAAATTTTAACAGCCATAAAAGGGGAAACTGACAGTAACACAATCATAGTAGGGAACTTTAACACCCTACTTTCACCAAAGGACAGATCATCCAAAATGAAAGTAAATAAGGAAACACAAGCTTTAAATGACACATTAAAGAAGATGGACTTAATTGATATTTATAGGATATTCCATCCAAAAACAACAGAATACACTTTCTTCTCAAGTGCTTATGGAACATTCTCCAGGATAGATTATATTTTGGGTCACAAATCAAGCCTTGGCAAATTTAAGAAAATTTTAATTGTATCAAGTATCTTTTCCAACCACAACACTATGAGACTAGATATCAATTACAGGAAAAAATCTGTAAAAAATACAAACACATGGAGGCTAAACAATACACTACTAAATATCCAAGAGATCGCTGAAGAAATCAAACAGGAAATCAAAACATACCTAGAAGCAAATGACAAGGAAAACACGATGACCCAAAACCTATGGGATGCAGCAAAAGCAGTTCTAAGAGGGAAGTTTATAGCAATATAATCCTACCTCAAGAAACAAGAAACATCTCAAATGTACAATGTAATCTTACACCTAAAGCAATTAGAGAACTAGGAACAAAAAAACCTCAAAGCTAGCAGAAGGTAAGAAATCATAAAGATCAGACCAGAAATAAATGAAAAAGAAAAGAAGGAAATGATAGCAAAGATCAATAAAATTAAAAGCTGGTTCTTTGAGAAGATAAACAAAATTGATAAAACATTAGCCAGATTCATCAAGAAAAAAAGGGAGAAGACTCAATTCAATAGAATTAGAAATGAAAAAGAAGAAGCAACAACTGACACTGCAGAAAAAACAAAGGATCATGAGAGATTACTACAAGCAACTATATGCCAATAAAATGGACAACCTGGAAGAAATGGACAAATTCTTAGAAATGCACAAGCTTCCAAGACTGAGCCAGGAAGAAATAGAAAATATGAACAGACCAATCACAAACAAAGAAATTGAAACTGTGATTAAAAATCTTCCAACAAACAAAAGCCCAGGACCAGATGGCTTCACAGGTGAATTCTATCAAACATTTAGAGAAGAGCTAACACCTAACCTTCTCAAACTCTTCCAAAATAAAGCAGAGGGAGGAACACTCCCAAACTCATTCCTTGAGGCTACCATCACCCTGATACCAAAACCAGACAAAGATGTCACAGAAAAAGAAAACTACAGGCCAATATCTCTGATGAACATAGATGCAAAAATCCTCAATAAAATACTAGCAAACAGAATCCAACAGCACATTAAAAGGATCATACACCATGATCAAGTGGGGTTTATCCCAGGAACTCAAGGATTCTTCAATATATGCAAATCAATGTGATAAACCATATTAACAAATGGAAGGAGAAAAACCATATGATCATCTCAATAGACGGAGAAAAAGCTTTTGACAGAATTCAACACCCGTTTATGATAAAAACCCTCCAGAAAGTAGGCATAGACGGAACTTACCTCACCATAATAAAGGCCATATATGACAAACCCACAGCCAACATCATTCTCAATGGTGAAAAACTGAAACCATTTCCACTAAGATCAGGAACAAGACAAGGTTTCCCACTCTCACCACTATTATTCAACATAGTTTTGGAAGTTTTAGCCACAGCAATCAGAGAAGAAAAAGAAATTAAAGGAATCCAAACTGGAAAAGAAGTAGGAAAATTGTCAGTTTGCAGATGACATGATACTATACAAAGAGAATCTTAAAGATGCTACCAGAAAACTACTAGACCTAATCAATGAATTTGGTAAAGTAGCAGGATACAAAATTAATGCACAGAAATCTCTTGCATTCCTATACACTAATGATGAAAAAATCTGAAAGAGAAATTAAGGAAACACTCCCATTTACCACTGCAACAAAAAGAATAAATACCTAGGAATAAACCTACCTAGGGAGACAAAAGACCCGTATGCAGAAAAGTATAAGACACTGATGAAAGAAATTAAAGATGATACAAACAGATGGAGAGATATACCACGTTCTTGGATTGGAAGAATCAACATTGTGAAAATGACTATACTACTCAAAGCAATCTACAGATTCAGTGCAATCCCTGTCAAACTACCAATGGCATTTTTCACAGAACTAGAGCAAAATATTTCACAATTTGTGTGGAAACACAAATGACCCTGAATAGCCAAAGCAATCTTGAGAAAGAAAAATGGAGCTGAAGGAATCAGGCTCCCTGACTTCAGACTATACTACAAAGCTACAGTAATCAAGACAGTATGGTCCTGGCACAATAAAAGAAATATAGACCAATGGAACAGGATAGAAAGCCCAGAGAAAAACCCATGCATCTAGGGTCAACTAATCTATGACAAAGGAGGCAAGGATATACAATGTACAAAAGATAGCCTCTTCAATAAGTGGTGCTGGGAAAACTGGACAGCTACAGGTAAAAGAATGAAATTAGAACACTTCCTAACACCATACACAAAAATAAACTCAAAATGGATTAGACACCTAAATGTAAGGCCAGACACTCTAAAACTCTTAGAGGAAAACCTAGGCAGAGCACTCTATGACATAAATCACAGCAAGATTCTTTTAGACCCACCTCCTAGAGAAATGGAAATAAAAACAAAAATAAACAAATGGGACCTAATGAAACTTAAAAGCTTTTGCACAGCTAAGGAAACCATAAACAAGATGAAAAGACAACCCTCAGAATGGGAGAAAGTATTTGCAAACAAAGCAAATGAAAAAGGATTAATCTCCAAAATATACAAGCAGCTCATGCAGCTCAATATCAAAAAAACAAAAAACCCAATCCAAAAATGGGCAGAAGACCTAAATAACCATTTCTCCAAAGAAGATATACAGATTGCCAACAAACACATGAAAGGATGCTCAACATCACTAACCGCTGGAGAAATGCAAATCAAAACTACAATGAGGTCTCACCTCACACCAGTGAGAATGGCCATCATCAAAAAATCTAGAAACAATAAATGCTGGAGAGGGTGTGGAGATAAGGGAACCCTCTTGCACTCTTGGTGGGAATGTCAATTGATACAGCCCCTCTGGAGAACAGTATGGAGGTTCCTTCAAAACCTAAAAATAGAACTACCATATGACCCATCAATCCCACTACTGGGCATATACCCTGAGAAAGACATAATTCAAAAAGAGACATGTACCCCAATGTTCATTGCAGCACTATTTACAATAGCCAGGACTTGAAAGCAACCCAAGTGTCCATCAACAGATGAATGGATAAACAAGATGTGGCACATATATACAATGGAGTATTACTCAGCCATAAAAAGAAACAAAATTGAGTTATTTGTAGTGAGGTGTATGGACCTAGAGTTGGTCATATAGTGTGAAGTAGGTCAGATAGAGAAAAACAAATACCGTATGCTAACACATATATATGGAATCTAAAGAAAAAAAAAAATGGTTCTGAAGACCCTAGTGGCAGGACAGGAATAAAGACGCAGATGTAGAGAATGGACTTCAGGACATGGGGAGGGGGAAGGGTAAGCTGGGATGAAGTGAGAGAGTGGTATTTACATATATACACTATCGAATATAAAATAGATAGCTAGTGGGAAGCAGCCGCATAGCTCAGGGAGATCAGCTCCGTGCTTTGTGTCCACCTAGAGGGGTGGGATAGGGAGGGTGGGAGTGAGATGCAAGAGGGAGGGGATATGGTGATATATGTATACATATAGCTGATTCACTTTGTTATAGAGTAGAAATTAACATAACATTGTAAAGCAATTATACTCCAATAAAGATGTTAAAAAAAAAAACTTAAAAAAGAGGACTGAGCATGGCCGCTGTGGGTACAAGGGCCTGCCAGTTCTGTCCCTGGCAGGACACCTCCAACAGGTTGTCTTCCTCTGCAGCTCCCTGTTGTGTTGGCTGAGAGTTTGTCTGAAGCTCTCGCTGTTCAATCCTGCTTCCCTTTCCTTTATTTTTCACAGTGAACTTCTCAGTAAACTTCCACTTTGAACTTGATCTCATTTGCTTTTTGAAAACTCCAAACTGATAGAAAAGGCAATTTTCTTAGCCATATTCAGTACCAAATGATCATGTATACTAATTATTGTATTTAAATATATATAATTATTATATTTGTATATATAATAATTATATTATATACAATTTAAAACAACAAATAAGAGATTCTCAAGGGGAGATTTGGAATTTAGAAGTGTGTGAGTGTGTGTGTGTGTGTGTGTGTGTGTGTGTGTGTGTGTGGTGGTGGTGGTTGTGGTTTTAGCTGTCACAGTGTCTGGGAGGTGCTAATGTTTTTAATTCTATTTTTAAACCTCCCACAATGCATAAGACAGTCCCTAAAATGAAGAATTATCCTGCTAAAAATACTAACCTTGCTCTTTTAAAAAACAATCTTGGTGCTCTTCTTATTCTAGGGAACTTGGCTTGACAAGTTCCTGTTTTATAAGTTACTATAATGTTTATTGTCCCTTTATATTTTTAGGCTTGAAAGCTCAGCCCCCTCCCAAGGCCTCTAGGAGCTTTCCCATAATTAGAATGCCACCCAAGGTTTTACCCTAATGACTGAAAGTCTAAACAACTTGGTTTTTTAATAAATATAGTAAGTTGAAAGTGGTTTTCAATTATGAATTTCCTAAAATAAGAAAAAACCCCTTTATTTAGATCATTAAATACAAGCAGTAAGTATCCTAATAGATATTCCTAACATATTAAACAAGGGTACCACTTAATACCTGTGTCATTAATCATTACACTACCATTCACTGCGTAATTGAGTACTCTTTGGGCTAAATTCTTCTTGTGCTTCATCTTTCAAACTAGTTGCATTTCCTTGGACTGGCAGCATCAGCATGACCTGGAGCTGTTAGAAATGCAAAGCTGCAGGCTCCACCCCAGACCTACTTAGTCAGAACCTGTATTTTGACAAGATGCCCAGGTGGTTCATATGCACATTAAAGTTTGAACAACCCTGTGTTTGAACAACCCTGAAAAACCTTATGAACAACCCGGAGCTTCAAGGTTTAAGCCCAGTTTCAAGTAGAAGCATTTGTTAGCATTTTCAAAATCATTTCTTTCTGTTTCAGCCTGAACTGTCTTCACAAGGGAGAAGTGAAGACAGCACCTTTTCTCTGGTTTCCTGTTTCTTGATTTTGGTGCACTCTCCCACGTGGTTCCTGAGAGAGATGAACTGGAGGCTGGCAAAGCTTGTTCTCTGAGTGAAAGCCCATGGGTATCACTGCTTTTTTAACCCCCAAACGAACGTTTCTTAGTTGCTTTGAGAATCCCCTTGAAGTTTCTCTCTCTCCTCTCAGATCATTTTCTTCTTTTGCAAATAGTGCTTGCCTTAGGTTTGTTCTGGACAAAATTCTATGAGAAGGAAAGAACTCATTTCTAAAAGAGCTCTCTTCCAGAACAAAACAAGGCTTATTCTAATCTTAAAAAATTAAGTAAACCTTAAACAGTTCTAGAGTGGCAAGCATGGCTGTGATGTAAATGTGGTTTCTTATTTATTCTTGGCCAATGCTGTTAAAATTCCTGTACCAATTTTCCTCTTTCTTCTTATAGTTCTGGCTCCTCCTTCCCACATCTCAAGGAGGGAATTATGAAGCTGTTCACCATCCCTCTCCTTGTAAGCTTGGCAACTGAAAGGGAAGAATAAAAGCCCACATCTAAAGATAATACAGGGACTTCCCTGGCAGTCCACTGGCTAAGAGTCCATGCTCCCAATGCAGGGGGTCTGGGTTGGATCCCTGGTCAGGGAACTAGATCCCATATGCATGCTGCAACTAAGGATCCCGCATGCCTGCGTGCCGCAACAAAGATCCGGCTTGCCGCAACTAAGACTCGATGAAGCCTAATAAATAAATATTAAAAAAATAAAGATAATACACAATGTAGATAATTGAGAATTGGCTATAGACCATTTATTCCCTTGAAATTGATTGTACATAGACAGACTTCTCATTTTTAATGTCCTTAGGAAAAATTTTAATAATTACTTAATTTTGATATGAGAAAAAGAAACCTCAGGTTTTATGGTTTCTTTCTAATTGTCTACATAGGAAAAACTATAGCACACATGCTGTAAGTGAGTGGCAAATAGTTAATAAGCTCTCTTTGAATAATTAGTGAATTTTTGAACCAGATTCTCTCTAGGCATAGGTAACAACTTTTGAGAGTTGTTGGAATTTCCTTTTCTTTTTTTTTTTAACATCTTTATTAGATTATAATTGCTTTACAATGTTGTGTTAGTTTCTGCTGTACAACAAAGTGAATCAGCTATATGTATACATATATCCCCCTCCCTCTTGGGCCTCCTTCCCACCCTCCCCCATCCCACCCCTCTAGGTCGTCACAAGGAATTTTCAAGACATTTAATCTTAAAATGTTTTCTTAAAAATAAAAGAGCTTAACTTGGGCTGTATATGAACTTGTCTACCAAATCTTTAATTTTGGGAGGAAATGGTAACCAACCGTACAACTGGTAGACATGTCCACCATTGGCTCCACTTATCTGAACTCTGATATCAACTTGATGAGACCTTCAAACTCTTTCTCTGGTTTAGAAGTCCCCAGGGTCTGCCTAGGGCCTAAATATGACTGTAGGGGGCATTTTAAAGACACCTCTCTTTCAGGGCCAGTAAGAGTGGCAGCAACACAGGAATTAGAGATAAGGGTGACATATCCAAAAATTACATCTGAACTGACTTCAGATTCTTATTTAAAAGGTATTTTTGTAAATTCCTATCATCATGGTAATGATCATCCTCAACATCCACAACATCCTCACCTTTGTAATCCTGTAAAAATCAATGAAGCTAAGAAGAGGACTGGGGAGTGAAGAAAAAGACTTAAATAAAGGAAACCATGGTAAATAAATGTTAATTTTCCGTTAGGAAAACATCCTCACATGTTCAACTATATACACCTTCCAGGCTGACACTGTTTGGTGTGGCCCTAGCTTAGAAGGTCTAGCATGTTGCTTAGCAATAGAAGGGAAAGAAAGACTGAGAATCTGTAGAATGTGTCACATGCTCATGAGTATCTGATAACTGTCTTCATATTTTCTATCTGTACACCAGGTATAGAGTTGTTTTTTAAGACCTATTATTATAAGTAAACATATACATTCTATGTTTTTTTAAATTTAATATACAATTTTTACCTTATAGACACATTGTTAAGAAACTCAGTCAAAGTCTTTGATTGTCCCAGTGCCTCTTTTTCTTCTTCTGAAAATTCTCTTGGATAATATTGTGTAGTAGCATTTTTGGGATATGTCCTAATATATTGAAAGAAATCGAATACCAAAAGTTAGATCAAAGACAAGCAAATATAGGTCATAACAGGGCAAAGATTTTTCTCTGTGACAATATTAGGATATTATTTTACACTTAAATTCTACATATTGAATTTTTTCTTTGTCCTAGACGATTGATGTTGGCTGCCATTCGAAGTATTTGTGAATTTCTCTTTGACATAATCAATAAGCTCTTTATTGTAAAAAAAATATTTAGCTATCATTTTAAACTTACAGAAAAGTTGTAAGAAGGGTATAAGAAATTCCCATACATTCTTTACCCAAATTCATTAATTATTAACATTTTGTCACATTTGTGTATCATTCTTTCTTCATTTCATTAAATCAGTGTTTCTCAACCAGTGCGATCCTGTTCTATCTTCTCAATCCAGGAATACTCGGTAATGTCTGGAAACAATGTTGGCTGTCACAACTGGGAAGAACTCCTGGCATCTAGAGGGTAGAGCCCAGGGATGCTAGAGTGCATAAGGCAGCTCTCCCACAACAGAGAATCATCCAGCCGGTAGCGTTGAGGTTGAGAAACTCTGCTCTAAATATACAAAACCTGGAACAAGTTACATTTTGGCAGTAATGGCAGCACCATCTCTGGGAGAAAGCTTATTCCATCCAGTCGGCTTTCAGTGTTCACCTCCACCCTTGAACACAACACATTGTATTGTACCTCTGGGCTTTGTCAGTCTTACCCACTAGACTGAGTGAGCTCCTTGATCTTAGGGTGTGGGGCTGTAGAAAGATCATACGGCAAGTCCTTAAGAGAGTGCACTCCGGTGACAGGCTGCCTGGCTTTGAAGCCTGGTTCTATCACTTGCTAGCTATGTGACCCTGAGCTAATTATTTAACCTCTCTGTGCCTGGTTTTTCATCCCTAAGATAAATACTGAAAGTCCCTAGCTCACAGTGTCATTGTAAGGATTGAATGTGTTAATAGATGCAAAACTTTTAAAACAGTGCCTAGGACATTTTAAGTGCTCAAAAAAATCAGGTTGTATTTAACCTGTGTTGTTGAACAAATGTCAGGAAAATGTCTCTGAGAGGCAAGTATATTAATAGAGAGTAATCAAACAGAATGGTAAAGAGAGTTTTGTTTATATTTAATTGAACAATTCATTCTTTTTTTCCCTGCCTAGATCAGTATCCATAGCAGAAGACAGAGTGATGGAAAGAAAGAATGTTGGTGCTGGAACCAGAGACTTGGGTTCAGATCTTAGCATCACCTTTAATTTTCTATCCCACACTAGTACCCTCCAGGTAGGATTAAGTAAGAAATTATATGGTGCCTGGTGGTTTCATCAAAGTAGCAATATGACTGAGTCACTCTTATTCTTTAAAATGTGATTTGTTTTGTTGTTTCTCAGCAGATCTATTCATTATTGCTTTAAATTTAAATTATGTTCTAAACATTGAGCTTTCATTTTTAACCTCTTTTTGCCTTAGTTTCCTTATTTGTAAAATGGAGATGGTGCCTACCCCAGAGGGCAGTTGTGAGGATTAATTGAGTTGATGTGTGCAAAGTATTGATTCTTAGAAGAATGCTTGGTATGTGGTAAGGACACTGTAAACATTTGCTTTCATTGTCATTATTCTTTGAACCTCATCTTTGATTTTGTTTTTTTACTTCTTCTATCACAATCATATATCCCATCTTTTCCACCTAATTTCTGATCTTAGTAAGTGGTACCAGCATTCTCCCAAGTCACCTGGATTTGAACCATTTGAATTCCCTTTGATTTACTCCCCACCACCACCCCACTTTGTGGGTTAAGACCTGCCGCTATTTCTCATCTATTCCCTCCATCTACATAGAAACAACTGTTCATCATTATCAGTCAACATTCATTGAGAACCTAATAAATCTAGAGTCCTGTGGTTAGGGTCCCTGTTGTTAGAAGTTCACTCTCCCTTTCTGAGTCTACCTCCTGAGTCTACCCTGGCTGACTCATCCTTTTCACTTTTCTGCACCCTGGTAGAAAAATAGAAATCTCTAGCTGTTTTGACTAAGAACTTTTTCTCAAAATCTAAGTTTCTTTTGTACTAATGGATCATCTCTCTCTTTCCTCTCTTACCCTCACTTCTTGGTGTTTAATGATCTTTGATGTCCTAATTCTCTGCCAAGACTTGACTACCAGTCCTTGTCTTTCTCTTCATCTCTTTTGGTTTGGCCTGTCTGTCTATCTGCCTCCCTGGTTTATGACCCATGTCTTGTCCTGACCCCTGGTATCTAGGTACATGTGCTCTAATTTTAACATTACATTTTCATGGGTCCTGATCCTTTGGTTCACAGAGATCTGAAAAGTATGTTTTGTTTTTTGTTTTTTTGGTTTTTTTTAAAGTATGTTTTGTACTATGGTCCACACTGAGGACCCACGATTCTCCTGGTCACAGCCTCTCTCACTGTATATTTCATGGCTCTTCTCTGAACATTGAACTCAAGTCAGTGACTCTGCACATTCTTCCTTAACTTGATCATTCTCCTCCTCCTTCCCTTCCTTGGTTCCTTTTCCCCCTCCGTTTAATAAATATGTGCCAGGAGCTGTCCCAGGAGTTGGGGATATACAAGTAAACAAAATAGACAAAGTTCCAGTCTCATGGAGCTTCAGTTCTAAGTGGTGGTGAGGCGAAGGTGAGAGAAGAGAGACAATGCTTGGTGAATTCAAGGAACAAGGAAGCCAGTGGGGCTGGAATGGATGAACCAGGGGAATTGTGGGAAATGAGGGTAGAGGGGCAGATGGAATTTAGATCACATGAAGCCTTGTAGGTTCCTTCAGGATGGGAAGCCATAGGAGGGTTTTTGTCAGTGACATGATATGACTTGCATTTTAACAGGATTAAAGAATGTAGGAGGGAAAGGATGGATGGAGAAAGCCCAGTTAGGGTGCATTCCAGTAATCCAGGCAAGAGACGATCATGGCTTGATCCAAGGTGATAGCAGTGAATATGTTTTGGAGATAGACCCAAGAAAATTCAAGGTTTGAGGTCTGAGTAATTACAAGAAGATCAGTGCCATTTACTGAGATGAGGAAGATTCAGGGAGTTTCACGTTTGAAAATAGAAAATCAAAAGTTTGTTGTGGGGCATGTTAACTTTGAGACACCTATTAGATACTTAAGGAAGCAGATGAATAAATGAGTGTAGAGTTCAGGGGAGAGACTGAGGTTGAAGGTATAGATTTCGGAGCCACCAGCAAACGGATAATAGGTAACACCACAGGAATGAATAAATTCACCCAGGGATTAAGCGTAGTTAGAGAAAACATCAAAAGGAGTTAGCTTCGGGGTCCGTTAATATTTAGAAATTGGAAGGAGAAGGATCCAGTAAAAGAGACTGAGAAGGAGCTGCCAGTGAGTTAGGAGGAGTACACTGAATATTGCCCATAAGCCAAGAGGGAGAAATAGTCAATCATGTTAAGTACTGCTGAGAAGCGGAGAAAGAGGGTGTCTGAAAATGGGATTAGGCGATCAGACCACTGCAGGTCATTGGTGACCTTGTTAAGACTAGAGTGGGCTCAAGGCAAAATGGAAGAGAAGGTGCAACTAGAGAATGTGAAAATCTGCTGTGAGGAGTTTTGTTGTTAAAAAGAAAAAGAAAAAAAAAGCAGAGAAAGTAGCTAATAGCCAGAAAGGTTGAAACAGTTTTTTGTTTGTTGGCTTTAGTGATGGGAGTTACAGCATTTTGTATTTATACATGTCTTCTCTCCACCCTCTCTTCTTGGTTTGCTGACACCACCTTACTTTACCTGGTTTACAGTAGATTCCCATTTGGTCAATCTCCTCAACTCCAGGTTTTTTTTTTTTCCCTCTGCACTCCAATACATACTGCCTGGCTCATCTTACTTTAATAACTTTAATCTTGCCTCTCGCTTGCTTCAGACCTTGCCAAAATTCCCTATTGTCTGCCACAGAGAATCTGCTTGTCTCTGCTCCTCCCTCCACACTACCCAGGCTGGTCTCCTGTGGTCCCATGCAGACTCTGTCCATCCCACCCCCTAGATGTTCAGGTCATTTAAAAAAATCTGGGATGTTTTCTCTTTCTCTATGTCTCCAAATCACATTCAACATTTGTAGCTTATCTTTTATAGATCTAAAATTATTTCAAAATAACTTTTTTTAATCCTAAAAATATGCATAGATTAGCTAAATATGTCTTCAGATTTATACAACATTCAAAGCCTAGCTCAAGGCCCCAAAGCATTCCCTCAGCAATCAATTTTACATCAATTCATTCACTGGAAAAAGTTTAATTAAATTACAAATTTAATTAATCATTTGTAGCCTCAAAGTGCTCAGGATCTAAGGCAGACAGGTGAGCAGATGAATAAAATATGGGTCATCAGTGCTACAGTAAAGATACCTCTAAGCTCTAGTGGGAACCCAGAGGAGAGAGTGATCAGCTCTACCTGGAGTTTCCAGGAAATCACAGAGGAGGGGGTACTGACCTGGAACTTAAAGGGTGAAGAGGGGTGGATAAGATAGTGAAGGGTGTTTTATGCAGAGAAATAGCAAGGGTAAAGGCAGGAAAACATGGAAGAGCAGGTATTCTGGGAGCTGGAAGTAGCTTATAGGCTAGAGCACAGAGGGCTTGCTTGGGAACAGGGCTGGACAGGCAGACAGTGACTTGTCGTGAAGAAAGGAGGACCTTATATGTCATCCTAACGGCTCTGGATGAGATGGGGAGACACGGAAGAGATTTGGGCAGTAGTGAAGTAAAACAATCTGATTTGGTACATAAGAATGATCACTTAGGCAGTAGAATAGACAAGTTAGAAGGCGATGGTCATATTTCAGCTGAGATGACCAGGTCCCCTTCTCTGAGAGAAATACTATAGTTATTAACAGCATTGCTCATTTTCCCACTTCATAATCTTTACAGTCTTATATACTTGTATTTCATTTTCCTAGTAAGATTGTTAAAAGGCATTGTTGCCTATAATTAGATCTTGAGCTGAACTACTCTGTGGAGATCTGGCATCACTGTCAATGCGCTTCTATTATACAGATCTCTCAAAGTAATCATGGATGTTGCTGGATTGCCTTTGAAAATACATATAAATTCATCGCATACTTACCATCTCGTCTGAGTACTTGTGTCTTTGATTTTGGGGACTACTTGCATGCCAACATCTCTCTCAAGTTGCTTAAGGGTAAAATTTTTATCTGGGTAGGCTGTACATTCAATATAGGCATCTTTTACGCTGGAAGCATTCTGGTCACTGAACTTAACTGGGGCACCAAATTCACTTCGTTTTCGAGAAATCATATATGTAATCTGCAACACATGTAAGCAGTACAGGAAACAATCGAGTCTGGAGAAAAATGATGTGTGGCCGACAACCCTGGTGCTCTGCCCACATCCTCTTGGACCCCTTTGTGTACTTTCTGTGCACCTTTCCAGGTCGTTTTGCTCTCTGTTCCCACAGCCACCAGCCACCCTCCTGTCTTCTGTGGAGGATGCTCTAGAGCTACCAGGACCACTTTGCCTGAAGGTACAAAGAACATGAAGTGACTGGCAGTTTATACCCAGGCCAACAATGGACTGGTGGGAGACATATGTAAGCCCATCTCTTTTGCTTCTGTTTGGGACAACTCTGAGGTATAATTTACACTCCAGAGTTCCCTAGAGGTGCAGGCTGAAGCCTTCACTCTGCCAGACTTTTGCCTGAGAGTGCACCCTTGCAGGACTTCTGTCTCGGTCCTGCTGCTTTCCTAGTCTCTTATGGGGCCCTTTCATAATAAATCACTTGCACACGATTGCTCCTCTCAGGGGCTGGTCTGGGAATGCCACTTTGTTAGTTTCCTAGGGCTGCTGTAACCACATACCACAGACTAGGTAGCTTAAAACAACAGGAATATATTCTCTCTTGGTTGTGGAGGCTGGAAGTCTGAACTAAGCTGTTGGAGGGTTGGTTCCTTCTGAGGCGGAATCTGTTCCCTGCCTGCTCCCAGCTTCTGATGTGACGGCCAGCAATCCTAGGTGTTGCTTGGCTTGTGATACATCACTCCAATTTCTGCCTCCGTCTTCCATGGCGTTCTCCCTGTGTCTCTATGTTTTCACAGGAGCATCTTCTTATAATGACGCCTGCCGTATTGGATAAAACTCCCCTTATTTTCTTTCTGAGGTACTGGGGTTTAGGACTTCAACTTATCTTTTGGAGGGAGACACAGTCCAGCCCATAACACCCCCCTAAGACAGTGACCATTATTCTATCAAAAAAAGCCATATCCCTGCAGCAAACACAGCAAACCACACTGATCCCTCGGGGATACGTATTGCTCAGCTATAGGGAGGTGACGGCTAGACATCGTATTCAAGTTGCTGACCTCTTTTGTGGATTCTTTAACCGATTCTTCCTCAATTTCTTTTTCACTGCCCAAAGAAACCCATGGTTTAGAGATAGGTGGCTTATAAATATATATATCTTCAGGAATACGCTCTTTATATTCTTCTTGCTCTTCTGGAACTTCTGGAGGCTGCAATAAAATAAATAGGATTCTAAAATATATTACCAGGGCTTCCCTGGTGGTGCAGTGGTGAAGAATCCGCCTGCCAACGCAGGGGACACAGCTTTGAGCCCTGGGCTGGGGAGATTCCACGTGTCGCGGAGCAACTAAGCCCATGCGCCACAACTACTGAGCCTGCGCTCTAGAGCCCGTGAGCCACAACTGAAGCCCGCACACCTAGAGCCCATGCCCCACAACAAGAGAAGCCACTGCAATGAGAAGCCCGCGCACTGCAATGAAGCGTAGGCCCCGCTCACCGCAAATAGAGAAAGCCCGCGTTCAGCAACAAAGACCCAACACAGCCAAAAATAAATAAATAAAATAAATAATAATAAAAATTTTAAAAATAATATATTAAAAAATAACATAAAATATATTACCAGAAAAAAACCTATGGCTGCCAAAGCGAAATGGGGGAGGAATAAATTAGGAGGTGGGATTAACACATACACACTACTGTATATAAAATAGATAACCAACAAGGACCTACTGTATAGCACTCTACACAGTATTTTGTATATAACTCTACTCAGTATTTTGTAATAACCTACAAGGGAAAAGAATCTGAAAGAGAATATATATATACATATATACACATATGTATATAAAATTGAATCACGTTGTTGTACACCTGAAACTAACACAACATTGTAAATCAACTATACTTCAATTAAAAAAAGAGATAAGTTCAGAAAATATATATACATATTACCAAATTTAGGTTATAATTACACATGTATATTTTGCAATAAACTTTGCTTTTATATAAATTCATTAAGCTCTTATTATTTTTCTTCTTTGTTGGTTCATGCTTTTCAACTATGAGAAGGAAACTATGCAAAAAAAAAAGGAAGAATGACAAAAAAGAGATCAAGGATATAGAAAGAAGATGAAAGAATCAAGAGGGGAGAGGAAAAAAAGGAAAAGATGTGTGATAAGAAAAAAGCATTTACTGTATGCCTTTAAGAATATGGAATGCTAAAACTTGATAAAATATAAAACTAATTTTCTCTGATTTAATGAAATGTTTTTCTGATGAGAGGATTATATGTATGAATAAATATGATATCCATTAAATTATAAAGAGCAAATGTTTTTTAAACCAAGATGTCCACAAGAAGATATACAGACATATAAAGATACAGATACAGATATAGATATATAGATGTTCACTGCTACTTTATTCATAATAGTGAAAAAATGGGCAACCAAATGAATATCAATAGGGAAAATGGTTGATACATTTTGGTATAGTCAGAAGATAAAATCTCATAAAACAGTTGCAGTGAACAAACTCAATCTACATGTATATGATTTTAAATGTATCAACATGAATAGATCCTAGAATTTTGGTGAAAAACAAAAGTTGCAAAACAAGTTGTATAATATAATTTTATGTAAAATTTAAATGAATAAAACAATAAAATGTATTATTTGTGGAGCATACATGCATGGTAACAGTATGAAACCATGGACAGAAGACTATATAACAACCTTAGAATAATAGTTCCTTATAGAGAGAAGTTAGAAAAATTGAATTAAGGAGGCTATAAGAGGCAGTGAAACATTATCTCTTATATTTTATTTCCTTTCAAAAGAATTTGAAGTAAATATGATAAAATATTAACATTTGTTAATTCTGAGTGGTGACTGTATAGATATTTGTTTCATCATCTGTGCTTTTCTATACACTTGAAATATTTCACCATAATAAAAAAATTAAAGCACAGAATAAAGCAATCATAAAAATAAAACTGAAAATGTTAAGGCTAACTGAGAAATTATTTCAAATGTAAAAAGTGTTCGATATTTTAAAATTCTATGGCTTTCCTTTATTTTTCTTGCTTATTGGACAATCACACAAAGCCCTCTGTCTCCCTCAGTTTGACCAAACCTCCCCATGAGGATGCCAGACCGGAAGGCAAGTGTCAGAAACCTGTTGCCTTTCATGACCACTTTGAACGCAACACCCCGAAGGTGAACTGACTTCCTTTCCTTGGAAACTACCATTCTTTTATACTCTGCTTATCTTTGACACCCTGTTCCCCTCAATTGCCCACTGACCAAGTTGTCCTTTAAAAATTTTCTTTTAAATAATCATAGCAAAAATTTATGGAGCACTTAGCTTTGTGCCAGGCACTATGCAAAGGGCTTTACCTGCATCGGCCCATTTAATCTTCACAACAGCCCTATTGGTGCCACCGTTTTGCAGATGAGAGGTTCAGTAGCTTACCCAAAGTCATGGTGATGGCAAGAGGAGAAGCAGGAATATGGGCCAAGGAATGGCCGAGAGCAGTGGTACTCCAGATTTGTTGTTTCCAGTCCCACTGGGTAAATGAAGGGCAAATAAGTAGAGTATCTGCTACCCTGAGTTGTCTGAGTTAGCTCACCCTTAGCCCACCTACTCTAGGCCCCAGGGAATCAGAGCTGAACGAGAATAATCATGACCATGTCTCCGGTTCCCCCAGAGGTACTGCTTCCTTCTGACAATCAACAGATTGCTTAGGGTGTGCTTACATTTAAATAGTTTTCCTTGCCCTCTTCAGTTCCAATAAGATAAAAGTTAAGTCCATATTTGAAGTCTTTGTCGTAAACAAGGAGAAGCTCGTCTCCAGGATATTCCTACAAAAATATAATCAAAAAAGAAGGTTGTTCAGTAGTCATTCAGTTTATTCAGATTTGACACAAAATTAATATTTCTTTAATCAATCAATCATAGAAGACAACCATAGTGCTAACCTATGGTTAATAACCCCAAACTGCAAAGTTATTTTATGAACTTACAAAAGCTCTTGAAACACAATGCGTCCAGGGAAACTTACCATGCAATTTTATTTCTAACAGGAAAAAAAGGAAGCATTCCTTTTATTTGGTATTGTGCTCTGTAGCATGTTTGTGGACAAATCAGGACTAAAATTATGAATTAAACAATTAAAGCAGTATGGGAAAATAAGGGTAGGTTCCCTTTCTAGTTAAAATTGGGCAAGGATGAGCTTTTCTGGGTGTGGAGTAAGACAAAATGTCACAGATAGGAGTTTGCTTTTCACAAAGGGTCATCAAGAAGGATTCCCAAGGAGGGATGGGCAAGCTAGCATTTGCCCAAAGTAATGGGAAATGCCAGAACTGAACTCAGAAATCTCTCCAACTTTTGTGATTATGTATCAGAAACCTCTTGAGGTAGGACTGAAAAATAAAGAGGGATACTGTACTTACCTGAATAATTTTTTTGACTGGGTAGAAATCAGATACTGCAGCTCTGTTTTCAAAGTCTGCAAAAATATCTTCTTTTTTGATAAGTTTATAAGGTTGTTCATCTGTGATATCTTCATCTATTCTGCAGTTAAATATCTCCTGGGTCTTGTTAGTCAACACTAAAGGATAAATTTCTGGATGACCTGGGAAAGGCAAAGTGGAATTTGGACATTAAATATAACCATTTAAAACATTAACACTAGGAAACATGCAATTGTTTGCTTTAAATAATTGCCTTGGTTAAAATTTAAAAGACTTTAAAATCATTGTTCATATTTTTAAAGTAAGTTTATCCATTATAAAAAATGTCAACAAATGAACTTATTTACAAAACAGAAACAGACTCACAGACTTAGAAAACAAACGTATCATTACACAAGGGGAAATGTGGCGGCAGGGAGGGATAAACTGGGAGTTTGGAATTGACATATACACACTACTATACTTAAAATAGATAACCAACAAGGACCTACTGTATAGCACAGGGAACTGTACTCAATATTCTATAATAACCTCAATGGGAAAAAAATCTGAAAAAGAATAGATATATGTATATGTATAACTGAATCACTTTGCTGTACACCTGAAACTAACACAGCATTGTAAATCAATTATACTCCAATATAAAATTTAAAAAAATTTTAATGTCAAAAAGATAAAAAGATGAAAATAACAATTACCCATAATTTTCTCTCAAGAGAGAACCTCTATTAATCGTTTGCTCTATTTCCTTCCAGTCACTCCATATATAGTATCTTAAATGAAATTCTAAATCCTGCCTTTCATACTTACTGTTATGTCACTAGAATTTTACTATGACATTATATAATTTTTCTAACACATAACTTTAAATTAATGTAATTCTATAGCATAATTTTTAACTGTTCTGTTGTTGGTAAGCATTACATTTTTTCTCATTTGTTTCTAGTGATTATAAATAACTCTACAAACAAATATATAGTTTATAAACTTTTATCACATTTCAAATTATTTTCTTAGGTTTTAAAAAAAATTTGTGTGTGTGGTTTAACATATTTTAAATTTGAAAGAAGACAAAGGTCAAATTCTCAAAACTAATACTTAAGATCTAATGAATAACAAAAGTATAAGAACCAAGACAGTTATATATGATGAGAATGTACAGAAATGGCCTGAATGACAGTTGAAAATAGTAGTTCATATTTTTTTTTCAGTTATACATATACATGTATCTGTTCTTTTTCAAATTATTTTCCCAGGATAGGTTTTAAAAGTGAAATTATTGGCTCAAAGGTATTATCACTATCTTAGGCTCTATCAAACCTGTACTGCTCTCCTAAAACACCTCCTCCCTCACCCCTTCACCTGTTGCTCTCTCTCACCAGGTGACCCTGCTTCCTCTCACAGGGAAAATTCTGTGTCTGTACAGCAAAGAATCCTGTGATGTCCCACAGCCCTGCCCACCAGCTCATCAGCACAGGCCCCGTCTTTCTGCCCTTCCCTCCAGTTCGGACACCTGCCTGCCCCTCTCCACCCTTCTCAGCCCATCAGCTCTTCCTCTCCCGTCAACTTTTCCTACCTCTGTGCTGTTTGTCCTCAGCATGCTGATTTGCTCAATGGTCTCCCGTTTTAAAGAAACCTTCCCTTGCCTCTAGATAGGTACCTCTGCTCCCTAGGGCTCTTTTTCAGTCAAACTTGTTATTCAGTTCTTCACACTTTTTAAAAAAAATTAATTTATTTTATTTATTTATTTTTGCCTGTGTTGGGTCTTCGTTGCTGTGAACCGGTTTTCTCTAGTTGCGGCGAGCGGGGGCTACTCTTCATTGCGGTGCGCGGACTTCTCATTGCGGTGGCTTCTCTTGCTGAGGAGCACGGCCTCTAGGGCGAGCGGGCTTCAGTAGTTGTGGTGCATGAGCTTAGTGGCTCCGTGGCATGTGGGATCATTCTGGACTCATTCTAGGGCTCAAACCCGTGTCCCCTGCATTGCCGGGCGGATTCCTTTTTTTTTTTTTTTTTTTGTGGTACGCGGGCCTCTCACTGTTGTGGCCTCTCCCGTTGCGGAGCACAGGCTCTGGACGCGCAGGCTCAGCGGGCCCAGCCACTCCGCGGCATGTGGGATCTTCCCGGACTGGGGAACGTACCCGGTGCCCTGCATCGGCAGGCGGACTCTCAACCACTGCGCCACCAGGGAAGCCCTAGTTCTTCACACTTTAAAGCTACTGACTTTCCAATTAGGTTGTATTAGTAAACCTGGAACTGGGGAGGAAGGTGAGGTAGGGATTCCCTCCTCTGGTTCCCCAGTCCCAGAATTGCCCTCAAAAGGGAGGGGGAGGTTCAACAGGCTTCCATTCCTGTCCTTCCTGTCCCTTTGCCCCCCACCCCAGGTCAGTCCTGGGCAGCAGCAAGCCCTGGGACAGCGGATGGAAGAAGACAAGGTATCGTTTTGCCTTAATCTTCCCTCTCAGCCCTACTTCTCATTTTCTTATCCTTTTTATCACCATCAACTTCTACCACCCCAGGTTCAGTTCTGCATTTATCCCCAGAACTCCCTCCCCCAACTCTATGCTCCAGGGGCCCCAGAACCCACTCCCATCCTCTCCAGGCCCCCCACACCTGGATGTCCCAACATCCTCCCTCCCACTGCTCAACAGGCGCGTCAGCGAGGGGAAAAGTGCATGCAGCCTCTCAGGTAGGAATTTTGAGCTTATTTTCCCACAGAAACATTGACCCCTCGCCCTGGAAGCTCTATGATATGATTATTCAGGTGATTATTAGTGACTCTATGCAAACACTGATTATGTATGGAAATATATTCCAAATTGCAATCAGTTGGCATAATAAACAAACATTTGGAATACAAGTGGTTCATAAATTAGGGACAAATTGCCCATTTTTATCTCCCCTTAAAATACTAACCCTAACACCTGAATGTAGAGGATGCTCAAAGGCAACTGTTTTTTTTGTGTTGTTGTTGTTTGTTTGTTTGCTTCAGATCACATTTATTGTGGGGTTAGGGGTGGGGATCTTGGGGTTAGAGGGCAGCAACTGTGGCTGGCGGGATGAGCCGCTCTCGACGAGCCTGCGGGAGCTGTCCGGGTGTCAGGGACAGGATGGTCCAGGGCCAGAGGGCACGCAGGATCCCCGGGGTGCTTATGACAGGAAGCAGTGTGCTGGCGCCTGGGATGCGGGGGGGTCTCCAGAGCTTCACGCACAGCAGGGCCCCCAGCACGCCCTCGGGGGGGCACCTCAGGGCCCAAATCCTGGTTGGTGGTGAGGCGGAGGTGACGCAGGGCAGCCACAGCCTCGGGGTCTGCCCCAAAACAGCTGTTGACTTGATTCACATGCAAGTTATCCTTTAAAATCATACTGCCAGCCGTAATTTGTAGAGTGTCCGATGCATAAGAGCCCTTGGAGTTTTATCTTGGAAAACCACTAGGTGGAACTGTGAGACCCACACTGAGCTGGAACCAAAAAGGAGGTGGCCGCCCTTCATAAACAGAGGTACTCACAAAGACCAGAAAGCTTCCTACCCTCCACGAAACTGGAAGGACACTGACAAAGATGATGTTCTTTGTCACCTGCTCCCACTAAACATACTTCAAATCCTACTGGCTGGATATTTGTCATAAAAATAATCCTTTTACACTAATTGGGCTTTTTCAAGGCAACTTTAATAGAGTATCTAACATTCCTTTATCTAGAAGTTAGCAGTAGTAGTAGCCTGTTTCTGGCTGGGGTCGGGAATCAGTAATAACTGCAGGCAACTAGTAGCCAATAGACTACACAGAACTCCTAGAGTCTAGTACCTCCGTGCCCTACCTGAACAATGGCCAAACTAAGCAGAGCAAGGCCTGATGCTACTGGCCACCCCAAGGGTCTCTGGCTAAGTTCAGTGTAAGAATTGTTGTCATTTAGGCTTTGAGGCCTGCACTGAAGATAGCACTGCAGGTATATAACAATGAAGCTCTGGTGATTAGAGATGAGATGGGCTCTGGGCTCAGTTGTGCCTCCAGCAGGGTGGTCCAGGAGGGTAAGAAAGATGTTGGAGCAGAGGAGAAGGGCTGCAGGGCCTCCTGAAGCTTACAGAGGTCAGGAGTGCCTGCCATGAGGGCAAGACCTACTGGATAGGGGGCCAGCCCAGTGCAGTGAGTGAATAACAGTGTGAGTAAATAACAGCATGTTAATTATAGTAGCTTCTGTGAAGCACCTACTGCCAGACGCTATTCTAAGCACATTACATGGATTATTAATTCATTTACTCTTCATAACAACATTCAGATGCTGCTCCTGTAATTGTCTCCTTTTTTTTTTTTGCGGTACGCGGGCCTCTCACTGTTGTGGCCTCTCCCATGGCGGAGCACAGCCTCCAGACGTGCAGGCTCAGCGGCCATGGCTCACGGGCCCAGCCGCTCTGCGGCATGTGGGATCTTCCCGGACCGGGGCACGAACTCGTGTCCCCTGCATCGGCAGGCGGACTCCCAACCACTGAGCCACCAGAGAAGCCCTGTCTCCATTTTTTAGCTGAGAAAACTGAGGCCCACAGAGTCCAAGTAAGGTATCCAAGGTTGGGGGCTGGGAGTTAGAAATAGGGGAGCTAGGATCCAAACCAAGGTCCCTGCACTGTAACTAGCAGGCCATACTTTCTCTCAAAAGTGTGAACACAGGGCTTCCCTGGTGGCGCAGTGGTTGAGAGTCGGCCTGCTGATGCAGGGGACACTGGTGCCAGGGTATACAATCTAGAGGGGGAGACAGATAAATAGATAAATACAGTCAGAAATACATAAGGACAAATGGTGATAAGTGCTATCTAGGAGAAAACAGGGTGAGAGATAGAACATAGAACTAAGGAGGGTGGTAGTGCTGGTGGTCTTTCTAAACAGGAAGAACAGGGAAAGCAATTCATTCATTTATTCAATCAATCAATCAACAAATATTTATTGAGTGCTTATTCTGTATCAAGATAGGCATTGGGGTAGAGGGGTGAACAAGACTTTCTGTTCCTCTGAAGCTTGTGTGTGTGAAAAAAAGAGAGAGAGAAAGAGAGAGAGCACACACAAGGGAGGGCCAGCATGGGTATATATGTAAGCAGCTACGTGTTATAAATGCATAAACAAATAAATATGCTCCATCCTCATTCATAAATTTTATATTTGCAAATTCACTTGCTAAAATGTATTTGTAATTCCAAGATCAATATTTGTGGCACTTTCACATTCATTAGTGGGCATGCTTAAAGTGACAAAAAATGTGAATTGCCTGATGTGCACATTGCCAGGTAAGGTCAAACAAGATGATGCTCTACCATCTTCCATGGGCTCTCATACTGCAAACAGTGTCTTTCCACTGTCTATATAGTACCACATTTTTCACAATTTTTTGTGCTTTGTATTGGTGATCTGCCTATTTAAAATGGTCCCCAAGCTTACTGCTAAAGTGCTGTCTAGTGTTCGTAAGTGCAAGAAGGCTGTGATATGTTTTACAAGAAAACATGTGTATTAGATAAGCGTCAGTCAGGCATGAATTATAGTGCTGTTGGCTGTGAGTTCAATGTTAATGAATCAGCAATATATATTAAATAAGTCGTCTTTAAAGAGAAACACACATAAAACAAGGTTATGTATTAATTGGTTAATGAAATGTTGTGACCAGAGGCTTGGAAGAACCTAATCCTGTATTTTCCCTAGGAGCAATGGTTCAGTATCTGCTAATTCAGCGTTTGCAGCAACTGTATAGAACTTCCATGAATAATGAGAATTGTCTGTACTTTAACTTCAGAATTATAAGTGCTATGAAGGCAATAAAATAGGGTACTAGGTGAAAGAGATGCCTTCAAGGAAGGCCTCTTGCAGAGATTAGATTGGGGTCTGGATCTGAATGATGAGAAGGAGGTAGGTGCATGGAAGGCTTATCCAGGCATTGGGAACAGCAAGAGCAAAGGTCCTGAGGCAGGAACAAATTCAGTATGTTTTGTGCTAAGTAAGGCTGATGAGCTGTAGATGGAGGTGAAGGTTAGGGAGACAAGGTCAGAGAGGAAGGTGGAGCCAGGACCACTATAAGGACGAAGAAAGGCCATGGGAGAGTTTAAGCAGGAAAGAGCCAAGTCAGAGGGTTTCTGTGTGCAGAATGCATTGAAGGAGGCTGAGTGGAAGAAGGGATACTGGTTAGGGGTTAAGGATCTAATCTAAGTGAGGGATGTGGAGGCTAAGGTTGCAGATGTGGAGATTATGTGAATTGAATGGGTTTGAGATATGTTTTAGGTGTTGAATTGACAGGACTTGGTATGGTTTAGATGCAAGTGAGGAGGTGTTGACGGGAAGAAAGGGGTCAAAGATAACTCCCAAGTTTCTGGGTGGTGCATTCATTAATTCATTAAACATTTGTTGGGCAGCCCACCCAGTTCCAATGCCATTTACTGTTAGCTAACATCCTCCCACCACCTCCCTGCCTTCACACTCCACACCTGCAACCCCTTTGCTCCCTTGGCCTTGCCACCATCATCTCTTTCCTAGATTGTTGCAATAGCTTCCTAACTAGTCTCTGCCTTGGTCTTTGCCCCTGCAATTCCCAAAAGAGTAGCCAGGGTGGCTCTTTAAATACATAAGTCAGTTGTTTTTGGATGGAATGTCCTATAAATATCAATTAAGTCCACCTTGTTTAATGTATCATTTAAAGCTTGTGGTTCCTTATTTATTTTCATTTTGGATGATCTGTCCATTGGTGAAAGTGGGGTGTTAAAGTCCCCTACTATGATTGTGTTACTGTCGATTTCCCCTTTTATGGCTGTTAGTATTTGCCTTATGTATTGAGGTGCTCCTATGTTGGGTGCATAAATATTTACAATTGTTATATCTTTTTCTTGGATTGATCCCTTGATCATTATGTAGTGTCCTTCTTTGTCTCTTGTAATAGTCTTTGTTTTAAAGTCTATTTTGTCTGATATGAGAATTGCTACTCCAGCTTTCTTTTGATTTCCATTTTCATGGAGTATCTTTTTCCATCCCCTCAATTTCAGTCTGTGTGTGTCCCTAGGTCTGAAGTGGGTCTCTTGTAGACAGCATATATATGGGTCTAGTTTTTGTATCCATTCAGCCAGTCTATGTCTTTTGGTGGGAGCATTTAATCCATTTACATTTAAGGTAATTATTGATATGTATGTTTCTATTACCATTTTCTTAGCTGTTTTGGGTTTCTTATTGTAGGTCTTCTCCTTCTCTTGTGTTTCTTGCCTAGAGAAGTTCCTTTAGCATTTGTTGTAAAGCTGGTTTGGTGGTGCTGAATTCTTTTAGCTTTTGCTTGTCTGTAAAGGTTTTAATTTCTTCGTGAAATCTGAATGGGATCCTTGAAAGAAATTAAAGATGATACAAATAGATGGAGAGATATACCACGTTCTTGGATTGGAAGAATCAACATTGTGAAAATGCCTATACTACTCAAAGCAATCTACAGATTCAATGCAATCCCTATCAAACTACCACTGGCATTTTTCACAGAACTAGAACAAAAAATTTCACAGTTTGTATGGAAACACAAAGGACCCCGAATAGCCAAAGCAAACTTGAGAAAGAAAAACGGAGCTGGAGGAATCAGGCCCCCTGACTTCGGACTATACCACAAAGGTACAGTAATCAAGACAGTATGGTACTGGCACAAAAACAGAAATATAGATCAATGGAACAGGATAGAAAGCCCAGAGATAAACCCACGCATATATGGTCACCTTATCTTTGATAAAGGAGGCAAGAATATACAGTGGAGAAAAGACAGCCTCTTCAGTAAGTGGTGCTGGGAAAACTGGACAGCTACATGTAAAAGAATGAAATTAGAACACTCCTTAACACCATACACAAAAATAAACTCAAAATGGATTAAAGACCTAAATGTAAGGTCAGACACTATAAAACTCTTAGAGGAAAACATAGGCAGAACACTCTATGACATGAATCACAGCAAGATCCTTTTTGACCCACCTCCTAGAGAAATGGAAATAAAAACAAAAATAAACAAATAGGACCTAATGAAGCTTAAAGGCTTTTGCACAGCAAAGGAAACCATAAATAAGACGAAAAGACAACCCTCAGAATGGGAGAAAATATTTGCAAATGAAGCAATTGACAAAGGATTAATCTCCAAAATTTACAGGCAGTTCATGCAGCTCAATATCAAACAAACAAACAACCCAATCCAAAAATGGGCAGAAGACCTAAATAGACATTTCTCCAAAGAAGATATACAGACTGCCAACAGACACATGAAAGAATGCTCAACATCATTAATCATTAGAGAAATGCAAATCAAAACTACAATGAGATATCATCTCACACCGGTCAGATTGGCCATCATCAAAAAATCTACAAACAATAAATGCTGGAGAAGGTGTGGAGAAAAGGGAACCCTCTTGCAGTGTTGGTGGGAATGTAAATTGATACAACCACTATGGAGAACAGTATGGAGGTTCCTTAAAAAACTACAAATAGAACTACCATATGACCCAGCAATCCCACTACTGGGCATATACCCTGAGAAAACCATAATTGAAAAAGAGTCATGTACCACAATGTTCATTGCAGCTCTATTTACAATAGCCAGGACATGGAAGCAACCTAAGTGTCCACTGACAGATGAATGGATAAAGAAGATGTGGCACATATATATAATGGATTATTACTCAACCATAAAAAGAAATGAAACTGAGTTATTTGTAGTGAGGTGGATGGACCTAGAGTCTGTCATACAGAGTGAAGTAAGTCAGAAAGAGAAAAACAAATACCGTACGCTGACACAAATATATGGAATCTAAAAAAAACGGTCATGAAGAACCTAGGGGCAAGACGGGAATAAAGACACAGACCTACTAGAGAATGGACTTGAGGATATGGGGATGGGGAAGGGTAAGCTGTGACAAAGTGACAGAGTGGCATGGACATATATACACTACCAAACGTAAAATAGATAGCTAGTGGGAAGCAGCCGCATAGCACAGGGAGATCAGCTGGCTGCTTTGTGATCACCTAGAGGGGTGGGATAGGGAGGGTGGGAGGGAGGGAGACACAAGAGGGAAGAGATATGGGGACATATGTATATGTATAACTGATTCACTTTGTTATAAAGCAGAAACTAACACACCATTGTAAAGCAATTATACTCCAATAAAGATGTTAAAAAAAAAAAAA